ACATATATGATATCTTACAGACAGGGAAAGGGAGCATTAGAAAAAGCAAGCAAAATGTTAGGAAATTTAGTTGAACGTACTTATATGCAGCAGTGAAGTCTCGAAGTTGCAGAACATGTTTTTTTGCACAGGTTCACATTTGACCTTTCCATTATTTGAATCAGGTCATTGAGGGCAATAGTTCAGTGTGTGGTGTGATTGCAGGAATCTTTCTTGAATAAGATGGAGTGGAGGTAAGGTGTGCTGAGGAAGCCAGGCTACATGCCAGGCATATGTTTTAGACACAGGCTAGTGGTTAATGCTTCTAAGTTTGAGCTCATTCCCCGGTCCTCCTGACCTCTTGTCTTGTGTTTCTCTTCCTTGCTGAGCACTCCATTACATAACTGAATACCTTATTTCAACTAATAAATTGCTTAATCAAAAACTTCTTTTTTAGACAGAATGTATAAAAGATCAAAAAAAGAGAGTAAGGATATTTTATGTGTATGGGCGATGATTTCTAAAACAGTGGAGTTGTATTAGGAACACAGATGGAAAATGCTGTTTCTAAGGCGTTTGAGAGCTGTCCCCCACAGACCCCTACAAAAAGAAAAAAAAAAAGCTGATTTGAAATGATTTACCTTCAGTGACATGCACTTCGCTCCGCAGTCCACTGCCCTCTGTCTGATCTCTTGTTACAGCTAAAGATGACAACCCAGGGACACATCCAGTCAACAGCACCTCGACCCTGTCTTCTATTCTGCTTCTGGCCTGACACCTAATTACAGCTGGGAAGACATCCGGTGTGAAGGCTGAGTGCACATTTATTGATTAAATAACACAAAATACACAGCTTGCACACCCATGTGCCTCTCTAATGTAATGCTTTTGACCCGATCTGTATTAGAAAATGCATTAAGGGCACAAAAAACCATTTAAATGTGTGATTTATCTATGTTTTTAATTCTAATAAAAATTGTTTACAAACGTGAAGTATGGATCTCCTTACATGTTTAGGAACTGGCGATGTTCTTAAGGCTATGAGAAGAGGTGAGAAACAACACTCTTTACAAAATCATGAGGGTCCAGTTGCTCAGTGACACCTCCCTTTTTACTGCTTTTAGTGGTCATATTTTTAAGAAACTATATGCCAGTTAACACAAAAAAACGGTTAAGTTTAACACTGTAAATGTACTTAAATGGAAATATATTCCACATACAGTATGGAAACCAAAATTAATTGATCATTAATCACAGTTACAGATGTTACTTGTGATAGTTAAGATTCCAAGCACTTGTAACACTTGTCTACATTCATTTCAGAATTCTACATTGATACAAAAGTGCAGAAGTAAAAAACGAAACTTGAAATTCATACTTAATTTTAGCAATTGGGAATGAGGATTGTAAAAATGAATTTTTGTAACTATACCTGGGGACGAACTTGAGAAGGCTGCCTCTGGGATACCGTTAATGGGATACACCCATCGAATGCTCTGAAGATTTCCATCATCGGCTACTGTGCAGACACTAGGAATTGAAAACAATAAATACAGATATATAGAGACAGTATACAGTATATTATCAGTATCAGTAGGTCTTCTAAATGCTAATCCATGACACATACAGAGGAAGCATATTGAAAGTTAATTTGGTTAAACTTGCCAGACTCAGGGAAGGAGGAATGAGCCAGGGAGCTGCAGTAAGCATGAAGATGGTGGGGGAGTGTGTGAGAGAGAAGCAAAAAGTGGGTGCAAGCAGCAAGCAGCAGCAAGATATTGAGGCACAGTAAAGCGGACATGGGTGATCTTGTCCTCCTCCTGATCTTCTATTTAAAAAGACTATATACTGTACAGTACACTATACTGTACTGTATATACTGTAGTACGTGTGATAAAAAAAATAACCTTAAAAACTCTTGATATGCTTTATAATTTAACTTATAGGAGCCAATGGCGGGGATTTCCAGGGGTAATTATATATAATGGCATATACATACAATAAAGCAAAGGCAGTCAATACAATTTTTCTACTTTTGTCACGTTTGCTCAAAAGCAAAGGTCAGGTAAGAAGACATGTCCCGATTTCTGTCAATCCTAGATCACTAGTGTACAAATGTGTGCCTCTAGACTCCTCTGTCCAGATTTGTCGTGCTTGGTTTATTATAAGGGAGGTTATGAGTCTGTGTGATCAGGCTGTCACCCCACAAACCTGGCAGAACAAAAATCTATCAATTAATCTATCTGGAGCAACTGGGGTAAACTAACTCTTTATTTGCAGGGGTGGGGTATTGTGTAGGCCCACTGCAGACCTGCTCTTGTAGATTGAGGGAGTTAGTTTACCCCAGTTGCTCCTGTCCACCCACTTTTGTAAAAGGGACCAGCATTACTGGAAGTAATCCCTGTGATGGACTGACATCGCATAGAGGAGTGGATGAGGAAGAATCTCTTCCACTTGATTCCAAGGAAACCAGATAAACCCTAGTCTGGAATTAGACCAGTAATTAGACTGGAAATCAGTTACCCTTTCTTTACCATGCATTAATACATCTGTATTACTGAGATTCATCTCTACTTTCTGAAATGGTCCCAACAAAATACATATGTATAGTTTGACTCATTAACACTTAATGTTTGCTGCCTCGTGAATCACTTGATATTTCAATGATTTTATATGCCTGAAGAACTTTCAGTTAGTGACTCTTGCATCTTACTAACTGTTTTATACCACTGAAAAAACTGTATGGATTGTATTTGCTTCATAAGTCAACACTGTAACCATTGTCAAGGGGATTTTCAAAGCTTTTTGATCCTAAGAAGAAGCTCTTAATTTGCTGAACGTAATTATAAAAGTATGAAAAGGCCAGCCGAGCTGGAGACAGAAACAGTAGTGGGAACTGACGTTCACAACTTAAATTAACATGTTCATTGAAACAAAAATTAAATTAATATGCTTTTAGTTTAAACATAAATGTGGGATTCAAGATTTCAGATACAGTACCTTCAGAGACACAAAGTAGATAAAAGTCTGCACTGGAGCATAAAGCTTTGATATTTTTGTCTTATAGTATAAGTCCAGTAAATTTAATCTCTTACTAGTCAAAAGATGTTCTTTCACTTTCTGAAAACTTTCACTTTATTCTTTCACTTTTATGGCTACATTATGAAGTCGAACAATTCTGTCATACAATGGTCATGGAAAAATACTTGTAAAATTGAAGTTGCATCTATAAATAATAGCACAGAAAATATGGTGATTTCAATGGCATGGTTGCTGTTGGTTCAGTTACTGTGTCATATTGTGTCTTATTATGTCATATTTGGGCCTGTTCATATTACACATTCATGTTATTTCATTCACATGATGGTATTTATCTTCAAGGTTTTGATTTTCAAAACAACAGTGATGTAGATAAACGTAATGCTCTGCAGCCAAAACGTTGTGTTTTCTTTCTTCTCTTTCAGCATGGAATAAACCTTTAACTTGTTCCTTTGCAGCATGCTGATGCAGCTACCTACTTGTAATATAAATTATACTGTATCAATGTATCAAGTCAAATGCATTTTATTTACATTTATATATTATATGTTTTAGTTTCCAAATGAACATGATGTGTTTAATATTTAATCAAGTTTCACCTATACTAACTTTCATGAACAAGACTACACTTTGTGTTAAACCTAATAGTTTCCGTGTTTGAAATTAAATGACTAATATTTCGATAATCAAATAATTGTTTTATCTATGTGTTTTCAGATACCTCTTTTGATCATAATTCAATGCATAAGTTCCCCTTTTCGAAAGAAAATCTCAATATAAAGTAATTTTTGATCATCCGAAATGTTTTCTGAAATTTTAACACAATCCAACAACTGAAAAATTGTATTAATAATTAATGACCCACAGTAACAATGTACAGTACAGTATGAAGGCTCTGAAATTTAGAGATGATGACTGATCATGTGTGTTCATAACATGACTGGATTAAACCCTTTTGAATACTCTATACAGGAGCCTGACTATCCTGCAACTTTTTTTAAATAGATTGGCTACAGAGATATACATCAACTATATGGCAGAAGAAAATAAGAAGTATAAGAAAATAGTCCCCAAATTTCTACAACAGTCTGCAAACAGACTCATTTTATTGCTTTTTACTGTAGTTGTATTACCTTGATACTGATGTCCCATTAAACACTAAGAATTTCTTAGAATTACCTTCTTAAATCCGCAGCCAGGTGATCATGTGGATTGTATTTCCAGCTTCGGCCATTTTGCTTCACCATGTGAACTATAACCCAGGCTTTACACAGCTTCATGGAGTCTGGTGCAAATATCACTGGGATGTCCAGCTTTGCCTTCGGGGTCAGCAAGATACCTGAAATCATGGACAGTAAAGGAAAATGTTTAATCTGAAACAAGTACACAGCCATGGAAACAAGTTGCAATTTTAGTTATTTTACTGGGGAATGTTGTTTGTAAAACTACAACTGAGCAACGAACACCAGCCATGTTGTGTTTCGTCTTCCAGTCCTATTGTGTTTTGCGAAATGTATTTCTTAACTAAAGTCACACCAAACACTCACCTCCCATTTTCACTCGGGCAAATGCTATTTTGAGATCTGAGCGATTCTGCAATATTGGTACATTATTGATAGGTACAGAACATGAACTGAACAGCTAACTATAAATGCTGCTGCAGCTCAGGCATGGAAACAGTACAGTAATAAGCAATTTTCATTGCAAACACAGAGGGACACAAGCACACATGCTGAAAAAAAAATTGATAACTAAATGAAAAAAAGAAAAGTGGGGATTATATAAAATAAAAAAACACTTAAACAAAGGAAAAACATTAATTGGTTTTACTATAGCAACATTAGAGAAATAAATACAAAGATATTTTTATTCAATGAGAAAAATGAATGCACATTTTGGCCTACATTTTTTTTAATGAAAACCTTATGAATCTAATCTTGTTTTTCTTTTTTTCTTTTTGCTCTTTTTACCTGCACTGAAGAGATTGGAATATACAGTACCAATGCACTATGTCTCATCAGGTTAATCTATTCTCCTGCTTCTACCACTAACTGGAATCCTGGCTGAGAGAGAGAAAACAGTATAAGGAGTTCTGATGGCAAGTAATTGAAATTTTGATGTGTGTCAAATAGAAGGTTTATTGCATTTGACGGATCTATTTTTATTTTTATTAGGAGCCCCGGTGCCTGTTGAATGACACTCTGCTTATCTCTGGCAATACAGTTTTTTTTCTGCATATTTCGAAGGGGCATTAATTAACGAACAGTGAATACAGTTCTGTCATACAGTGATGCGCTCCAGTCCTGTTTATTCATCTCCTCAATTTTAATCAAGCACTTACTCTGCGGCTTAAAAGAATACTTAGAAAAATCTGCATTATGGAGACTGACAGGACAGACATTTAGCAATAAATGCAGGGATTGACCAACCGTGTCAATCTGCATTGGTCTCCCAGTTTTGCGTACCTTTCTAGTATGAGTTTTAATGAATAAAGCTTTAGTAAATTTCCGTTGAACACCAATGAATCTTACCGAGGTGTAAAACGTTTTTTTTTAATGATTATAAAAAAATACGTGAAAATATATCAAATGACAAAAATTGAGAATTAATTTAATCTCAAACAGCTCAAGGCACAAAATATCACCGGATATCCTAAGCTTCATCAGAGATTTATCAAACATAGAATAGAAAGGTGAAATAAGAGAGAACAGATTCTTGAATTTAATGCAAATCATATAAAATTTTAGTTCTGTGACTATTGCACATCCCTGATTTCTTTTTTCTGCTGTTTATATTAAAACTGTGAAAAAAGCCTGGTTTTAAACAGTTTGTTGGGGAGGACAGCATGCAATTCTCATGTCTATTTCACAATACATCTTGGATAACAATTTCATTTTTGTGTGAAACACCCATGATGCAATTTATCCAGTGAGGCTCCATATTAAAATGATGTGGCACTGTGGCAATCATTTTTATTAAAAGATGAGTAAATAGATTTGGCACCTGGAAACTGTTAATCACATTTTCTATGTGTAATGAGAGGCATGCTGTGTTAAACTGTGGACAGTTACATTCCAATTTAAATAAATTAAGACTGAAACTGTGAATTTATGACCCACAGTAACAATGTGTGAAGGCTCTGAACACTGCTAGGGTGATACAGTGAAAAATTTAAGTAAATTTGGAGATGACTGGCTGACACCTGTGATCGTGTTTTAATTAAATTACTGAATTAGTCCCTTTTGAGTACTTTATACCAGATCCTCACAATCCTGTAACATTTGTTACAATAGGGAGGCTACAGGGATATACTGTACATCAGAAGAAAATAATAGGGGGTCTTTGAGGACAAAAAAAAATATGTAAAGACGAAGCTTTTAGGTCAATAATTTCTTGGTGTTACCTTATTGATGTCACAGTAATTTTATGCGACACTTCAGGAAAATATTTAGTAGACATCAGATGTTGCACTATTGCTAAAGTGGCTTTTCATTTTGATCCTCAAAGCATTCCTGTTCTCCCACAAGGACATCAATGTTTCACCCAACAGAGTGGTCTTCCGTTTCGCACCGTCACACGTTTACTAAACAGATCTATACTGTACAACAATATATTCTGGAGCTGGTGCTTATATTGTCATCCATCCACTTACTAACTGCTTCATCCAATGCAGGGTCACAGGGGAGCCAGAGCCTATCCCAGCGGGATACACCCTGGACAGGACGCCAGTGGCTGAGTGGTGGCTCTGAGGCTCAGGATCTGCGCCTGTGGCTAGAAGGTTGCTGGTTCAAATCCCACAGCCGGCAGAGGAATCCTACTCTGTTGGGCCCCTGAGCAAGGCCCTTCACCCCAACTGCTCCAGGGGCGCCGTATAAATGGCTGACCCTGCGCTCTGACTCCCAGCTTCTCTCCCTGTCTGTGTGTCTCATGGAGAGCAAGCTGGGGTCTGCGAATAGAAAAATTCCTAATGCAAGAAATTGTATCTGGCCAATAAAGTGATCTTATCTGATCTTATCCATCGGAGGGCACACAGACATACTTGCACCAGGGCCAGTTTTCACTGATGCCAATTAAACTGCTGGTTTGTCTTTGGACTGTGGGAGGAAACCAGAGCACCATGGAAAACCCAAGGGAACATGGGGAGAACCTACAAACGTCACCCCAGGAATTGAGCCCAAGGCAGCATTGCTCGCCACCCATTTCGCCCCTGTTTGTATCGGATTAAAGCTAGAGTACTCCAAACCACAAAAGCGTGGAGATGTCTTCAATGCAAAAATATTGTTAAAGTAATTAAAAAATGTATAACATTGTCAAACTTAACATTTAATAAAACAGTTGTACATTTTATCATTTATAATCAGCTAAAAACCTTAACAAGGAAAAATGATTTTTAATGTTACTTTTGAAACTTTGATATAAAAGGCTTAATGAGAGTAAGAAAATTAATGCATTTAATACATTTAATACATTTAATACATTTCAAATGCATCTATTGGTATGTGCTTTCCTCACTGTTCACCACTAACAACCTTTGTTCACCAATCTTTCTTTAATGTTTTACATGATATCAACAAGCATTTAGTTTACAAATACAACTTTATAAATATATTACATGAGTAAATATGTGTAACAGTTTTTATTTGGGAGTTCAACACTGTTTGGGAGTAGTTTTTTAAATTATGCTTTTTTGAGGTGTGCAGGATCTTTTTAGGAATATGTTGCTGCCAAAGAGAGTGAATGGACATCTTCAGATTAAAATTCTTCTGAGACTTTTAATACTGTATTTCCTAGACAACAAAACTTGCTTTCTTGCTTTGTATAAGTACAAATCCAGTAACTCAATTTTAATTTTCTACAGATAGAAAACATAAATTCCATTCAAGTGATTTACTGCTTTATTTTTTTAATCTAGCTGTAAATGTAAAGTACCTTCTCCACACTATAGTGCAAAGGCATTTATTTTCCTAAAGTACAGCCTGCTTTCAAATCTATTGTGAAGTACTTATCAGAAAACAGCTTATGTAAATACAAAGAAGCCAAGGACATATTAGGTCAGCATCTCTTTTTCTATTATTTATAACGGGGTTTTCACATTTAAATGGAGAATTCTGCAGAATTTGTGTTTGAATAAAATTACATTTTAGAATTAATTGTAAATGGTAATGTTATTAGTCTTTTCAAGCATGCATTTAGACTGCTAGTGATTTCTTCTTCATTATGTATAGGACCTTAAACAGTTATTATTCACTGAGAAATATATTTCAATGTAACGCATTTCACTGTGGGAGGCATGGTGTGTAGTGGTAAACATTGCTGCCTCACAGTGCTCAGGCCCTGGGTTCAGTTATGGACCTGGAGTGCTGTCTGTGTGGTGCTTGGATGTTCTCTCCATGTGCATGGGTCTTCACCGGCCACACCAGTTTCCTCTCACAGTCCAGAGGAGAATGCTGGTAGGTTCATTGGCTTCTGGGAAAACTGGCCCTGGTGTGGGTTTGTGCGTGGCAGTGTCCGTGTGTGCCCGGTGATGGACTGGTGCCCTGTCTAAGGTGAACTCTGCCCTGCGCCAGTTGTTTGCTGGGATAGGCTACAGTACGTCTCCCTGTGACCTTGAATTGGAAGAAGCAGTTAGAAAATGGGTGGAAATTCACTCTACAGAACTCATTCCTCCTTATGAATTTGTTAGCTTAGATCCTACACTATAGAGCGTGGAAATTTTAGGTTTTTACTGATACATTTAAAAGATGCTTATGTACAGTAAAAATACAATGGTTAGGAAAACTAAGGGATTTTCAAAGAACAAATATTTTTATGCATTTGGAAGATATAAATTGAAGGAGGGGAAGAGAAAAAACTGTAGGAGACAAAATGAATTGTATACAGAGGAAAGATGAGCATATTCCACATTAAGTCATAATTAATATTCGTGAACAAGACCAGCTTTCAGACTCAGAGTCAGTGCTTTTTCAACATTTAACAATTTGATTACTTACAGATTTTTTAATATTGTAATTATTAACAATAATGAATTCAGAATTTTATGTTAATTTTCAATAGTTAAAAACAACTTTGAATAACTTGTTGTATTAAGAACTAAAATATGTAGATATAAATAAATAATAGAGAATTATCCCAGAATTACCTGATAGTACACATTATCACAAAATTATTATTTTTTAAAATCATAATGTTCATACACTCAAAATAGTTTTTGGGTGTATGAAAGTGCCACATCTAGTGAATAACTTCAGTACAGTCTTTCTTGTTAAGGAGTACGTCTGAGGGTCCTTATACAGTATGATATTGTTCACATGAGTTATAAATGGCAAGATTGCATTATGGCTTTCTTCTGCAGCATTGGACATCACAAACACAAAAGTAAAAGGTCCAGTTGAGCATTTGGTACTCTAGGTTTTAGGTGCTGTGAGTGCATAATGTAATACGTTATTCATTCAATGGAATTATTTTTATCACATAATGATGTGATAAAGTACTATCATAATGATATTGTAATTTTCATGTTAAAAAATTATCATGAAATTATGCGATGTACAGTAATGTTTTTTCCTTGTGCCTCTGTACGTACAATATGTTCTATGTCGCGGATACCAAAAGGAATGCAAACTGTAATTGACTGTAATTTCAATTTGTGCTATTAATTTAAAAATGTATCTTAGTGGCTCATTCAAGAGTAAGCTTACCCAGGCTGTGACTTTCTGATTATTAGAATTTGAGACTTATTGTAGTGTAACGCCCTCGCCTGGTGGTGAGGAGGAAGCGCCCCTAGGCGCTCGTAGTACCGCTGGGCATGCTGGGAGTGGTAGCCGGGAAGAGTCTGAGGGTCAGCACGATGACCAGCGGCTGACCCTGCCTGTGTAAATAATGTCCTAGTAATTCTAGTGCCCTGTGTAGTCCTGTAAAAGTAGAGTGTGTTGTTAGGTAATTACCACCCTAAATGTGTGTACGTGTTCGTCAGTCTCCTCATGTGTGTGTAGATCCTGTGTTTGGTTTTGGGGTGGTTGTAAAATAAAGCCAGTGCTTGGTTAATCGCGTCTCCACTGTTCTTTAGTTCTGAGAAAGAACCTGCCAAACGCTACAGTAGGATGGAACGAACAGGTTGTGTTCTACTGAGGATGATAGATGACCAGGAATGAGAGTCACAGAAGCGCTCTGTGCTTGTGCAGTCTGTTCCAATTCGGATCTGCTGGTGCGCTGTCTGCTGAAGACAGCGGGGCTGACAGGCTCAAAGACGTGATTGAAGAGGATAAGAGAGGCTTGTCATGAAAATTGGGAGTGAGGATCAAGGTAGCGTGATAACAAAGGGTTCGTGAGATTCCAAGCAGGCTGCGACTTCCAGCTGAAGCTCTGAGTGTTATGTCATCTAAAGATGGTGACATACAGTCTGCAGGTAACAAAACCAGGAGAGGTCTTTGTTCTTACATGTCATTCTCAATATATCTTATCTTCCTTTATTAGATTTTACTCTCAGCAGTTCTTTGTTTTTTCTTTTTTTTAACTTACACAGCAGATCAGCAGATTTACTCATGTTTGTGTTTTACTGTTATTTCCATTCAGGAAATAATAGTAAAATAGCAACATGCAGTAAATGGCATGTTGGCACTTTCAACATCTCTTTAAAAAATCTCATTTTTTTAAACATAATTAATATATCAGAATAAATCATATACTGTCTACAATCATATTTAAAGACCTGTGATTTAACCAGCCCCTACCTAACCCCCCTAAAAAAAGAATTAGTCATAGAAATACAGTATGTCATAGAAATAGAAATAGATAAATTTGAAACTACTGAAACTACTGAAGAGATCACCATTCTCCATAACATTGATCCAGATGACTTTTCTGGTTGCTGTAGATGTTTTTTCACATACTGTACTTCACTCATATGACTGGAATTGTAAAAGATATAAAATAAAGGAAAGAGTCATTGATAGTGCTTTCGTTTTGAACAGGAGGAAGAAGCTTGTTACTTGACTGTTGTACCTTGTGTTTGTCTGAGTGGGAGAGAGAAGGCATGGACTTCATCGCCATCGGTCTGTCTAGGAACAGAAGGGATTGAGTGGTGCAGGGTTTCCTCCTGATCTGATGCAAGAATAAAAATCAATAAATCATTTAATGCCATTGTCAGCAGCAACGAAACATAAAAGAAAAAGTCACCTGAGGTTTTAAAATCTTACGGTTAAAGTTGATTAGAAAATTAATGTTCTTTCAAAGCCACATTTTTATTTTATTTATTGCCCCTTTCAACCTCAGCATGTGAAGACTGTTTTAGAAATGGAATACACTATATAGTATATACAGTACAATATACAGTATGACAAAAATGTTTTTTTAATTAAAGTCATGCACACATCATGCTCAATAATGTATTCTATATTTTTAGATCCTATACTGTTTAAATAAATACTTTGAATTTCTTTTAAAGAAATCATACTTATATATGAACAAGAGAGGAAAGCTCTCGTGATGTCTCATCTTCAGACTTTCACCTTGTAAACTGCAGCTCAATCTCCTCAAATCTAAGTTTTGCTTATGAAATATAAATGTTAAATAGCAAGGTTAATAATATTGCACAGAGCAAAGTCATATTTAATTAATAATTCTAGAAAACACAAGGATCACATTTATTCACACCTGAACTCAAGTTTTGTGAGACTCTACAAGTATGGCTTGCAGAAACTGAAGCAATAAGAATGCAATATAAAACCCAGAACTTAAAATGTTAAATGATAAATTCCAACGATACATCGTGCAACCTGAAGGCACAGTCTAGACAGGGTCTCCAGGGTGGACTGGAAGAGCAGCAGAGCAACCAAATGGTTGCAAGGGATGAAAATGAGCCTCACAAGACACAGGGAAGAAAAAAGAAAGAACAGTTATATGACCAGAAGAAGAAGAGAGGAGAGAACAAAAGGGGATATAAGGAGAAATGAGGGATTAGGGGAGTGATATAGGGAAAAAGAAAGTCTTCAACACAGTAATAATAAGTGGCTGATGAAAAGCATGCAGGAGAAAGATCACGTGGAATAATCAAAACAGAAAGACGTGGACTGCAGAGTTTTTAAGTAGTCAGAAAGGCCAGATTCATAAGAGACCAGCAAGTAGGAAGTGACAGCAGCCTGGGGACCAGGAGCTTAGTGGAGTTAAGTTGTTGGGAAAGGACAGATTCTAGAGCTGCTGTTTAGAAAATGATGACAGGAGTGTGTGATGGATGAATTGAATGGAAGGTGGTGTAATAAGGACAAGGTGGGGTTTAGGGTAAGATGAAGGCAGTGGGGGAGAGGGATTGATGGCCAATGTGTCTGTAGGTTTTTCATTTCCTCTGGTGACTGGTTTAATTGGCTCAATTTAATTAAGTGTCCCCAGGCTCTTCAGTTGTCACTGCTTTAAAGAGACCTTGAAAACCTGCAGATATATCAGCTCCAAGATTGGAGACCCTTGCTGTAGAGAGAAGAATGAGCAAAGGAATTGGTTGACAGATCTGAGCACAGGAAGGGTTAAGAGCTATTATTTAGAGAATTGGTATTATACAATCTACAGAATTTTTAATCTTATTGTAGTTATAGCTGGTCCTATCATCTGTCTGTTTGATCATTAAGTGTTTTTTTAACGTTTTCCCTTGGGAAAACCAATGAAGAGTCATTGATAAACATTATAATTTGATGCCTATGAATGTTGCAGTTTAATTGGCTTAAAATATGCTTTTAATCATTTAAAAGGCCTTGACACAGGACCACCAATTCCATTCTTTTTCTACTCCAATAAATCAGATTACTCAGGGTTGAGTGTGGCACAGACACAAAGAACTGCGTTGACAAAAGCAATTCTTGAAAAGAAAAAAATCACACAGAGCATACAACACTGAATTCACAGTTGTACAGTGCATTTTTTTCTCAAATTGCTTTTCTGTATACTTTTAGAAGCCCTACTATTAAAGATCTGGTGCATCAATATAACAGTGTTCAGTAATGCAGTAGGTCAAAACCGAACCTGAATGTGTGCTGACCCTCAGTAAAAGGGAAAACCCACTCAAAAATGCTGGCTGATATTGATCACAGGGTTGTCGTGCAGACAGTAATTGACATTTCTATTGGAAGGAATGGTATAAGATTACGGGCTCATGAGCACTAGAACACTGAAGAGCAAGTAGCAGAGTTTCCCCAGTAAAAGTTCCTTCTTGTTTCTGTCGCTGTGTCGAGCCTCACATTCCTCAGATACAAGCGGGCGTGGTGCCCCAGGGGAATCCAACTGCTGTGCCCGATCTGACCGTGCAGGTGAAACACCATGTAGGAAGAGCTGCCATCCTCGCCACCAGGCTCCGCCCTCCTCACAATCATTTCAAGCACATGGCATGGCCAATGGCACAGGCAGCTTGGGCTCAGACTGCTCACATTTATCAATGGTCCTGTGTGAGGAGCCACACCAGGTATCATTGTCAGACATCTCAGTATGAAAACATTGTAGTGATCGATGCTGCTAAGCACAGCTGTGCCTAAGAGGCTAAGGATCAGCTTTATTAGACCCCACCCCTAAAGGGAAACCAAGGCCAGTGTCCTCCTGGAAGGGACGAGCCCTTTAATAATCTTGAATTACCTTGGAAAGCATACATAGTACAAGCCTGGTTATGGTCTTGAATTCAAGAGAACCCTTGGACATGAAGTCCGAACCTTCAGTTTTTTTACGTCTTGCACAGACTACACATTACAAAAGAAAATAAAAAGGAAAAAACAAGAAACAAACATTATTATCTTTCTTTAAAAAGTCCAATTCTGAAGTTGTAGCACCCCTACTATGTGATATACATTTCTCTTTCCAGGGCTTCTACTACTACTACTGTCTACTACATTGGAAAAAAAATCAGAGTGATTGAACAAATATTAAGACATGGACCTGGATGTCTTGCATTTTCTTACGGGCAGTGATTGAAAAGATATTTATGGTGTATAGGCAATAGAAAAGTGTGTTTTTGCACACTTCTGATATGTACTGTAGTTATGACAAAATTAACAAGAAGGATTGTGAGCTTCACTCGATTGATGGGCACAAATTAAAAAAAGCAAAAAATATCAAGGCAAATAGAAAGGACACCTAAGAACCTAAGTCTCTGAATGAGCAGAATTCGCTGAATGACAGCTATTTCTAACTACTAGATCAGGTTTGAAGATATGATGGCTGTTTGGTCAGCTATTTTGAGACTGCTGTGTATTCACATGGAAAGACTTGTGAACAGAATATTCACTGTTTATCAAGGTAGGGTCAACAGGCTTTATGTATTTTGGTGAATATTTGTTCTTGCCATTGCATTTTGTTGGAGAACTGCTAAATTACTGACTTTGGAGCTTCTCAGAACTGATACTCCAGATAAATGTGCTCCAGAAAAAGAAACTGCATTGCATTATTTGGTTGTATCTACATACAAAATATGTTGTTGTAAAGCTTGTGTTATATAGTTTGTGGTGGTGTTTTGATTTTGATTATAAAAACTGATGGAATTCACCGGTTCTGCTGTGCATGTATGAAGTAAACCAGTCAGAGCTACTCCCAATTTCTTTATTTTGTTAGAAAACAGTTTCCCTGCTGATAAAACAAACTTGATGGTCATATTTTCAGGATTTTCACTGGTTTATGGATATTAAAAGTAAACTGTTAAATGTAGATTTATATCTTGGGTCAGATATGGCTGTAATGGCTGCATAATAGGATGATTTACAACCTGCAGCAAGGGAGGAATCCAGCACTCATGTGAAGGACAGGATCAAGAAAATCAGAGTCAAATGGAAATCCAAAGATGAAATCAAAACCAGACTAAGCTAAATCAATGCAATCTAACCTGGGACAATCCAATGTGAGCTCAGTGAACAAGTTGTGAAATTAGCAGCGAGGCTAAAAAGGGTATAGATTAAATCACAAAAACCCAGGCATTAAGCAAAGTAGGGTAGGCCAAAGTGGTATGTTGGGTACCATTGAGCTAATTTGGCTTACTAGCTCAGCAAAGGTCAGTGACATGGCACAACTTTTGCTGATCACTGCAGTCTGTCTACCAAACGGAGCCACGTTTAACTGTATAATTTCATTTTAAAAGTGCCAAGAGCACTGTAAAAGCCACAGAGCACTTTATAAGGTTATAAAAAAAATTTCATAAGCAAAAATCAGTTACAGAAAGCAGTGATAAAAATCCCTTGTCAGTTCTAAGATTCTAAACCTGTTAACTAGGAAGGATATCAACAAGCGAGCAGCAAAGCACCTAAATGTTCTACCTTCAGCTCACTGAAGATAATGCTTTGAAATAATCTAGATTCTGTGATCCTGGAAAAAGATTAAGTACATATGAATCAAGTTTTTCCTGAAGATAAGAAGGCATATAACATTTTTTAAAATTATTTTGCTTTCTGTAAAATTGAATGTGAAAATGTTGACAACAAAGAGACCTGAACATTTTTTCTCAGAACACTATATACTGTAGGTAATGTCAATATGTAATGTAGCTGCAACACAACATGCAAATTTGCAAACTGGAACCTACATGGATGTTTCAACAAATATGGTAATATACAGCTGAAGACAGGTTTCCCCAGCACGTTGGAACATGTAAAGCACTCCTTACTGTTTTGTTACTAGATCATGGAAGCACACCTGACTGGGGTGGCTCAGTGGCCAAATACAGAGTGCTACTGTCACACAGTCATGACTCCATTTCTTGAAAGCCAGAGTTATTGCAGTACATCTGAACCTAATCTTGCTGCACAATAACACTAGACCACACCAGGGTGCACTCATGAGCACTGACAATATTACGGGTAAGAGGTGCTGGACCAATAATACTTTTACCATGTTTCCCAATGTTTACCTGTACCCATCTTAACTTGAGTTGAAACTATGAAAACAACTTTCTTCCATTGTTGGCAGTAAGTTAACTTTACTCTTCTGTTTTATTTAAATCTTTTTTTTTTCATATCTGAACTTTTCTTATTACTTCAGTAAACTCTATGCTCCCTTTTGGCCAGAGTGAATGCTTCGAGTACCAAACTTTTTTAACACGCTGGGGATACTGTATGTAGGTGGGATCCATCCATAACACAAATCATGCATTTTATTATACCTAATCAAGGTCAAGTCAAGCGCATCTTTAAAAAGCATAATAAAAAAACACATCTTTAGGTAATGGAGGAGTGTCTTAGGCGTTTTTAAATTAATGGCTATGTCACATTTAATGTACTCTAAACCTGATGCAAGTTCCTCTGTTGCTCGGATTATCCCCTGCAGGGGATGGTGAAAGCATGGCTTTGGCAGTTGTAATTCTTTGGGGAAAAAAACATCCAGAAATTCAATTTATTCAGGTCAGAATCAATTGTCTCCTTCCTTTTGTTTGTTGACAGAATTCACCCTGCTCTTTTTTGAGGTGTCTGAATCATAAGGAAATGCAGAATTTTCATCCATGTCAATGATTTTGGTAAAAGTCTAATCTAACTGCTGTTTTTAAGATTACAGTGGCTACCATAGTAGTCATGCCTCGTAGACATTTTCACATTTTATTGTTATAACATAGAATCAAAATTTATTTAATTGGGATTTGTTGCCATTGATCAACACATAACACTCTATAATGTCAAAGAGAAAATTCTACTGATACAGATTCTACATAAGTATTCACCCTCTTTGCTATGACACATAAATAGGCTCTGGTTTAACTAAATGTCTCTAGAAATCACATAATTAGTTGAATGGAGTCCACCTGTCACAGTCTCATCCTTCAATATTTTAGAAGAGCAGATGGGATGAAGCAATTATGATGGCACAACCTCAATTGCATAGAAATGCAAAGGTGTTTGCGAGGAGTTGTGCTCCCAAAGTCCACCCAAAAAAAAAAACACTGCGAAAAATACAAATTAACCAAAAGGAAAAAAAACACACAAAAGTAAAGTTACAAGAATATGTACTGTACGTTGATTGCTTTAAAAAATAAATTGCTCCTACTCAGCACTACTTCACAAGCTTCCCCTATCTTCTTTTCCTTTCCAGAGGGGCTCCTTCTCTAGCTAAAACGCCTCCCGCTGGAAGGTGTCACTATAAAGCAATGGGATTATACAAAATAATGATCAGAATTCTAATATAAACCATTCCCCAGTAAAAATTCAATTAATAACTAACATATAAGTGATATAAATAAAATAACATTAATCCTTTTAAGTGTAGAATTGTTTTAGGAAAACTCTGTCCTCACATTAACAAACCATGCATGTGCAGCTCTGGGACAGGTGCTATTAAGTCTGTTCCCGTTGCCATCATATGGTTTGGGTCCTACAGGTTACTGGAGGAACCATTTTGCCAGTGTAGCGGAGCTAGTTCGGGCACGGTGACGTCAGCGTCCTCCCTGCGCGTAGCAGGGACCTCAGCCGCCCGGGCTGGGGAGGGGTCTCCTTCAGCTCAAGCGGCGGTTTCCCTGTTGCGTTACGCCGGAGACCCGGGTTCGAGCCCCAGGTGCCGCGGGATGAAACGGGTGGCGGAGGACACGAGACCACGTGGAACTGTGACGGTCACACCAGTATGGATCAAAACAAGCCATTTGTTAGAATCACACGAATTAACTCAATTGGTGTTTTATTTCACTTTTAAAAACAAAGGATGGGATACAAGTGTACACTATGGTTTGAGTGCATATTTAAGTTTGATTGGACTTGAATGGCCTTACTTTGCTCTATGTGAACACCCAGACTAGTTAAATTGGTTGGATTTGAAACCAGTTTTATTGCCTTTGTTTAGATGGTGAACGATTTGCGAATGTGTACGTGTGGATACGTCACGAGTGCTCGATGATTTGGAAACGGAGTCCCAGTCACACCACCTATGTGCAGTTAAGGTGAGAGTTCAGGTAAAATACACCTACTGTATCTGTGTGAGATGCCACAGTTGATTAGTACAGTTCAAAGCAAAACTTAGGATTTTGTTATTGAAAAGCACCAATCAGGAGAAGGAAATTAAAAAAAAACTTCCCATGGCGTGGCATATCCTCCAAGACACAGTACAAAAAAAGTATCTGTGAATCTGTGCACAGCAGTACATTTTAAAAAAACTGACTATCCGAGTCAGAGCAGTAGTCAGGGAGGCCACCAAGAGACCTGTGACAACTCTCAAGCAATAAGTCTTCGATGGTTGAAATGGGAGAAACTATGCTTATGAAAAATCTTGCTTTAAGTCTCAACTACAGTTTTCTAGAAGGATGTGGGAGACTCTAACACCAAGTGAAAGAAGATTCTATGATCTGATGAGACCCAACTCATGTGATTTGGACACAACGTTTACCATGATGTTTGGTGTTTTGTGCCGATCTTTAACGGCAAAATAAATCTCAGTTACTGTAAACGATGATTCCATATTGTAACACCGCAAAATGTGAAGAAGCCCAAGGGGGGTGGCTACCTCTCTCCACCTGCCAGTTTCAAAGATTCAGTACATCAAAGTTGTTTGACTTCTTGTAGATAAAAGGAGGGAGAAGAGGCTCCTGAGTTGCCCAACTACAGTAGTAAACTAATTCAAAGTTCAGTCAGAGATTGTGTTAGATCAAAGATTGCTATCTGAGCCAGGGATTCCTCAGGCAGTAGCGCACAACATCACAAGCACCTTTGCTCGACAACTGAATCTAGAATATCCTCATCTCAACAACATAATCTTATTCTGGATTTTAACTTCGCTAAGCTATGGAAGACTATGGATCCTACATTAGAAGCTGGATTTACAAATAAAACCTATTATTTTCATAGGCTCCACTGTCAAAACGTTGTGTTTTCTTTCTTCTCTTTTCAGCATGGAATAAACCTATTACTTGTTCCTTTGCAGTCCATGCATGCTGACGCAGCTCCCCACCTGAACTATTATTTTCATGGCTGCTATTATGTTTATTGCTGGATGTGTAAGTTGTGTTTAGGAAGGTCTTATAGCTCTCAGAAAGTAGTGAGCTGCAACAAACAATGCCTGAATCCCTGAAATACATACTGTGATACTACAGTAGATCTTTTGTTTTGAGCTTTGGGCATCTATTGCTGTCTTTTCCCTATTTTACCTATAATAATTTTTTATTATTTTAAAAATCTAATATGAAATTTACTTGGCATACAAATAGGGCAAACAAGGTTAGTGTAACGTTTGGTCTAGGCCTTTAGTGAAGTATTGGGTTGTTTAAGGAAATAACAGACTATAATATATTCTGGACAGTGACATCAATTAGAAGATGGTGAACTGCATCTGCCACACTTCATTTTTATATAGTCTGAATAGCAGTGCAGATTTATCAATGTCAAAATCACGGATTCATCCCCATTTGATGTGTCCTGGCCAATGGAAGACGATAAGATCGGCAGCTCACTTCTACAATGCTACTTTTCATGGACATACTGTAATACCATCTAAGTAACTGCTTAGGTAGTGAAGAGCAAAATAATCCAACAAATGACACACAGGCACACAGAAACAAAATGGTTAAAATCAAAAGTTCTGAATTAGTTTACAACTTGTTGTACTACACTTATATTGTAGATGTCTTTTCTAAAGTGATGCTGTGATAAGAATAGGCTTCTTTCTACAGTATGCTTGTTTACGACTGTCATGCAAAACACGTTGTATCAAATTGCTACTGCAGTTTCTATATAATGCCCACTCTCTCTCTATGAGGAAATTGTGATGGCTTTTAGTTATTCTTTGCATCTGTATTTCATACTTTCACACAGTTCCTTCTGTAAGGCACCACTGTTTCTATTATAAAAGATGGAAAGAATATAGAACTACTCTGGGAAAAACACATTAATATCAATTTCACAGAAAGAGCATTTTACCCTCCTGGATTTTCATACACATTCTGTCTCACTCAATGGAAGTGCTATCCCACTGACAGTTTTAATGGATCTATAAATTGTAATGGGCCCATTACCTGTTAGCAGCACATCTACCAGCACGCTGTCATCAGTAGGATTCCTGAAGGGCACAATGACTGAGGAATGAGAGCCAACACATGTGCTGATGCTTAGTGGCTCCATTAGCCCCGGGAACAATCCTATTCCAGACATGTAGAAGTTCCACTCTTGCAACTGAAACCAGAGAAAAATCAGACAAACACAGACAAAAATAAAAATGCTTTTGCCACATGATAGACTTGCAATTTTATGCTAAGGCTTTCATGTAAACAGCAGGTTTTGGCACAGTTTATGTAAATAACCAGAATGACTTTATAATAATTCATAATATGATGAAATATACTGTACAATACCCTCTAAAAAACCCTCTTAAAAATGAAAAAATCTATACTCAAATGTATTTAAATTGGCAGATTCAGTGGACCAATCCAAGATTTTTCACATGATGTACTCCCTGTGTGTTTTATCCTACAGTATGTTTTCAGGCCATGCTGTATGGTGAAGTGCCTCCCAAAAAGTATGGAACATTTTTAACTACATAGGACGACAAAATATGACTGTAAACTACATATTGAATTCTGGTGTAATTATCATTAATTACATTATCAATAAAAGAAGTCATATGAGGAGACAATGTATGCCCTACACCATGCTTCACAGATGACATTGTGTTTTTTGGAGCATCTGCAGATCCTTTCTTTCTCCTCAATTTTCTGATGACAAAGGGCAGGACATTGGTTTTATGTCTCATCTGAAGGACTGCACCTTTTTCCATCATTATACTGGGCAATTAGGACCCACACAGACCGCAGGGTGAGCGCTCCCTCCTGGTCCTAATTGTGATTGTGAACTGGATGTGTGTTTGTTGTTTGTAAGCAGCTTAGCTGTCTTTCATACAGAGAAGGACCTGGCAGCTAGACTTGTGTTATGTTTTGGTCAGGTTTTCTTCAGTTTCTGTGTTTTGCATTGTGTAACGAACAGTTCTTTCCGGACCCTATGCGGACGACACAGTCCGACAGAGTGGGGAAACACTGGGGAAACGTCATGCAGGAATACGGGGCTGAAGACAGGGGGGCGTGTCCAAGGTGCGCTGGTGCACGGGGGAGGTGTGGCCGAGGCGAACAATCCCAAAGAGTAATCCTTAGAGTATCCAAAACACAAGGGTAAAGTCCAAAACCAGGAGATCCATCAGAACGCGGAATTAAAACACAAAGGCCGGGTCGGAACCGGCGGACAGGGAACAGGAACGGGAACCGAGTTTAAAACCTTAACGGGACCAGGCGCTTCCAGGTCCCGGACTCGCACGATACGGAAATCAGATGCAGAGCCCGGATGAGCGTCAGCGCCTGGCTTTTAAGGTGGGCTGGGAATAGGGATCAGGTGCACAGAATGAAGTCTTTAGTGAAAGGGCTGGAGCACCCTTAAGGAGGGGGGACTATAATCGTGACACATTGTTATGGAAAGCAGTGGGGTTCATCCTAAAACCCATCTATTGTTTTACCATGGAGATAAGACTGTTTGCAGTTTCATTCTGTTTTGCATTGTTGCATTATTCTCCAGAAAGCAATAACGTTAAAACACCCCACCTCAACTTCACACGGTGAAAAGGATTCATAAAATTATTTATAACAATAAATGGCTTTAAGCAGCATAGAAATTGCCACATTTGATTTGGTGGCAGAACAAACTTTAATGTTGTTTTGTTCCATTGTAGCTTGACTGAAGTAATAATAATAATTGCTTCAACTTATATACAGTAGTGCTTTTCTGGACACTCCACTCAAAGCGCTTTACAGGTAACGGGGATCCCCTCCACCACCACCAGTGTGCAGCATCCACCTGGATGATGTGATGGCAGCTGTAGTGCGCCAGTCAACTTGACACACACCAGCTATTAGTGGGGAGGAGATCAGAGTAATGAAGCCAGTTCCTAGATGGGGATTATTATCCCCTCTATGACATGCTGGTGAGAATGAAGAGCACGTTCAGCAATAGGCTGATCCAACCACAGTGTGACAAGGAGCGCTACAGAAGGTCATTCTGCCATAAGACTCATCCACTGTGTGTCTGGGCAGGGGCAACATTGACCTGGACTAAACATGAATTTCAGCTGAGTTTTGTGCAATATATGCTAGGGATTTGTGCAATACATTTATAATGTGCAATACATCTTTTGTGTACTGTACATTCTGGTTTGTTTTGTATTTTCTGTAAAGTGAACAATTTTGTATACTCCATTTTTTTACTTTTTCACTTTTTACTGTACTTCTCACTGACTGTATATACTGTATTGAATATTATTGTATTATTCTGTTACACTGTGCTGTGTTGATTGTGCCAGGCTGCTGTTGCACTGCAATTTTCCTGACAGGATCAATAAAGTATCTATCTACAATATCTATTAGGAGGCCATGATTGGTAAGGGCCAATGGGAAATTTGGCAAGGATGCTGGGGTAACACCCCTACTCTTTTTGAGAAATGCCCTGGGATTTTTTATGACCACAAAGAGTCAGGATCTCAGTTTTACTTCTCATCCGAAGGATGGTGCCTTTTTATAGTATAGTGTCCCTGTCAATATACTGGGGCATTAGGACCCACACAGACCGCAGGGTGAATGCCACCTACTGGCCCCACCAACACCTCTTCCAGCAGCAACTTTAGTTTTTCCCAGGTCTCTCATCCAGGTACTGACCAGGCTCATACTGTACCTGCTTAGCTTCAGTAGGTTGTCAGTTGTGAGATGCAAGATGATATACTGTACTGTAGCTGCTGAAGTGTCAGTGACTCTTATGATAAGTTTGCTAATCAATGTTAATTTAAAGTATATGTATTGTTGTGTAAGGAATGTTTTGTTGTTAAAAGTGAAAGCAATTTCCATCGCTTACACTAATGTACTATAGTTACAAATCAAAAATGATCAGAGTTTAGGTTCTTCTCAGGAAGTCGTGGATTTATCAAATCCTTTTAAATAAATTTGGCGGTCCATACTGTAAACCTAAACTTTTGTTTCCAATCATGACGCAAGATAAAGAGCTCTCCTCAATAGACAAAACAACTTCAAATCTTTATCAGGAGCTGGACATAAAAACGAAAATCACTTAGTTCCTGTGCTTGCAAAATTGCCTTGTGTTTCTTTGCTACTGAATGTCTGAGAATGCATTCTGCAATGAGCCTATTGTCAATGTTTATAGATAATTGAATGTTTCAGTTGCTTTCAGTGACATCATTTGCCTCTGCAGTCTATCCATCTGTTATTGATTTGGCTATTACATTTTGCCCTTTTCCCATACTATTGATCAACTCTGTAATTTTTCCTCCAATTGAAACCTGAGAATACCACCTTTTTTTCCCTTTGATAGCAAGTCTCCAGTGTTATGTGTTTCAAAAGGACACTGCTTATTTTTGTAAAACAATATCTGGTTTGTTTCTAAATTAAGACTATAGCTCCTGTTTCAGTTGAAAAGGGAATCCCGCAGTTATATTGGTGAATGGTACCTACTCCCCTTTGTTCATCTCTATGGTGCTTTTGAACATTTTCTGATGCAAAATAGCTGTACATTTATGTAACCTGTAAGAATTCCTCATAGTCATTTATGGTATTTTTTAAATTTTTCATTTCTGTTCTGATATGTTTTTTGGCTACTTTTATGTGTTTTTATGTTTAACTATCTACTAGAAATAAAACGGGATGTGTTGAATGGTCTCTTTTGCAGCTTTTTTTTTAATGTAGGTTCTTATGTTCTAAATGATACTGAATTGTTTTGGGGAAATCTTATCGTTTTACAAAACTATAGCTCAAAAGATTCATTTTTTGGGGGACAAGAACACGATGGAATGGAAATTATATCTATTTCTGTATAATGCAATGGTCATGCTCAGCATTTCTGTAATGTCGGGCTTAACCCTTGTGAGTTTTTCACATGTCTTGTTTATACCTCTCTGACATAAACAGTGTGAAGATTTCCATAATGTCTCTGAAGCCCCTGCACTGCACAAGGATAATTATGTCCTTTACATTAACTACAATTCACTTATTTTGCACGTAAGGTAAAGATGGCCAGTTGTGACCATCTAAGCACTGATTGAGCTGTATGTGTCTTCTCTCTTTTAGAGATGTTTTATCTGTCATTTCCTCAAATTCCTCTCCTTGAATACCACGTTCGGTAAAATTTTATGTTTCTTTTCCTTTTCCTCTCATCAATTTGAATTCTACAAGCTGTTACTACAGCATAATTTACTGTCAGTTTAGAAGACAAGTTACTGTGAAAAAAGTTGTGTTTAAATTGGAATATTATAATGAATCTTAGACTCTTTCATATATGCCTTTAACTGAGTAGGTGCAATTGTTTACGGTATATACAGGATTAGGAAAAGCTGAAACTAAAAACAATTTGGTCCCATTTACAGTACATTTCACATCACAGCAAAAACATTGTACTTCTGCATATGAAAATGGCAAGATATTTTCTCAGCAAATCAGTTGTATAAAAGACATTACAAAAATGATAAAAAAAAACAAATAATTTATCTCCATTGGACCACAAAAAAAAAAACAAAAAAAAAACAGTGCCTTAGGAAGTACTGTGATTTAGAATACAACTAGTGGTTTTAGTCAGGTTTGTCACTAAAAAGTAATCTCAGTCACTGATGGGATTTTGAAAGAAGAAGCCAGTGAGTCCATCAATGGACTCGGAATTGATGGAATTTCTTACTCAAATGGCTGGCTATACTGCCTTGGGATCATACAGCATGTCATGATATAGTGAAAATGCTGGCGTCAGTCAAACCACAATCTCACATGGGAGCAAAGCTTAAGGAGCCATTGCACAGTATTATCTTTGGGATGTTTAACATATTGATGAAACAGGACTTTTTTCACATGATGATGTACTGTCTTTTTCTACCAACAGCATTATGGGAAAACAAACAAAGAAAACAAAGGGCAAAATCATAGACGTTCTGTGCAAATGCAGACAAAATGAAATAAGGCTGCTGAATATTGGTAAATCTAGCAATGTTCAATACTAGGTAGAAAAAAACAGCATTCTGGTTGTATACTGTTTGCGGGTATGTTGTACATAAAAGATTTTCACAAGAAAGGAAAGGCTTTGTGCCTCACTGAGCCAGCTGTGTTTGCTGTGAAAAGATAAACACTCTACCATGGAAGGCACAATTCTCTTAGCAGCTAGATAAATAACCCATCTGCTAGCCCCCATTGAGCAAAAAGAAATTCTCAGGATCTGTTTGATGAATAATGAGACGGAAAATGCAGACACTGTTCAAATATGTAAGTGGGCAATGCAAGGTCAACACAAAATCTAGAAGATGATAAAGATTTAAAGGGTGTTTTTTCAGGGCTACCATCTTCTAGTCTGGTCTTGGAGACTAAGGAAGGGTGGACCTGGGCAGTTCTGAGTTGGGAGACTTACAAAGAAAAGTGATTTGCTGTTTCAGTGGTGCTGGTGGATCAGTACATGGTCCTCCTTCTGTAAATTTCAAACCATTGCCTGGTTTCAAACCCCAATTTGGGCACACCGTGCTGTAGATGGTACTGTCTTTTGGATATTGACTGTTTGATCAATAAAGATACAAAGACACTGCTTTAAACTGTAAAGGTTTTAGCCCTGGAGGCCCAGCTAAATCCCGTTTTTGGCTTGGATAGTACTGTATGCACAACCTAAATTTCCTCCTTAATCCAGCTTAAGGGGGGAAAATTGTAGAAGCAGTTTCTCACTTCCAAACCTGATCTGTTGCATAGAAATGCTGCTGGCACATAATAACTGCCACATGTCTCTCACGTGTTAGATGAAGTATGTCGCCTATTATATGTAAAACATACAGAACAAATGAAATATTCACTTATTTTCTCTTTTATATACTTTGCATTTCATATTAATGAAAATGCTTTTCGTACCAACACTGTCAACAACTACCACTTTGATAAAGATCCTGCTTTGTGAAAACAGATAAATTCTATATATTGTATAATATGCAGACCACACATTTATTACGATATGTGTGGAAGGTCCCACTAACTGTGTAGCATGGCTTCGGAGGAGTGGTGCTCATAAAACCCCTGTTAAGAGAAGACCAGCACGCTATTCATTGCAACTTGAACAACATAAATCTGGGGACTAGCAAAACTGTGACTGAGGCTGGAATAACCCTGGGAAAAAATAAATCCTTCCCACCCTGATTTGATCTGTAACCTTTTCCTCGCCAGATTCTCCTGTACACCTAATATTAATTGACAGGCGATCAGCACACTGCTTTATCCCATTTAACCTTACCTGCTGTATATGGGAATGTGAACCAACCTTATCCCTTTAACTCCATGAGAACCATAACCTCACTGTTCTAACAGAAGGCCCAAAACTAGTCTGACTCCACGACCAGCCAGTTAGGCATTATTCCTGTGTTCTGGGCCTTTTTGTACAGGGAAAATGACTGAACACAGCTGCAGCAGATCTTACTCTCCTTGCCTTTTACAGTACGAATGCCTGCAGTTGCTCTCTTTGACTGGCCTCTGTTGCACACCCACAGCACAGATTGATATAGGGAGCTGAGAGACTGCTGTCTCGATTACCTTTGCATATAAATAACTTGTATTGAAGTGAATCTACGTGCTTTCTTCCTTTCCTAAGGGTTCCTCCTAAAATCTGTTAATTTATGGCATATGTAATGCTATCTTAAATTTCTTACTAATTTACAGCTGCAAATAGATTTTAATCAAATTATAAATGTATTACTCACTCATTACAAGGTTTTATAAAATTTGAATAGTTATCATAGTGTGCTAATGCTTGCTACAATCTAGTGTTGATGTACAGTAATTGCAATACTGTTTTAAAAAATATACCTTTATTTTTTTTAACTGTTCTTCAGACACAAAACAGCACAATAAAGAGCATTATAACAACTAGCTGACATAATGTTGGAATAAAAGATCTTTCTTCTACCTAGTGTTTGAAAGTGTACCACTATCAAAAACACCATCATAGACAATGTGAGAAAAAATCTAATAAATTCATATGTGCACTTGGCAGTGGTGGAAGAGTGTAATTTATCTGAGAATCCTAAAAGATTGTTTGAAAACAGTTCAAAGAAACTCTTAAATACTGCTAAGTGGACAGAAAACTCATTGGGTTGGGTAATGTTTTAAAGCACATTAATGTTGCTATATCAAATGAATTAAATGAAAAAGTTTGCGATTCATTTATGTCCTCAAACACTGCATGAATACAGCATATACAGTAGGTGAGATTTATAGATGAGATGATGCAAAGTGATCTCTTGCTTCCAGGGATGTAGCTAAAAACTATTTCCCTGGGCAATAATCTCACAGATACCCATCATTAGTTTCAAATCATCTTGTGTCAGTAGGTATTAGTTTGAAACTGCTGGTATCAGCATCTTGCCTCCAGCAACTAAACATCTCAAACCCGCAGGTTATTACACATCTTTTTCAATTAAAATGAGTAAAGAAAGCAAAACCTATAGACTTATTTTCATTCTATAGATGGCATCACTGTATTCTTTTGTCTTAATGTCTAAAAACTCCATATACACAATCAACATGTAAACCAATTTTTTCCCACCTTAAAAAATGGTTAATATTATATGGAATATTATGAAAATCACTGTTTCAAGGTAGTGATATGAAAAATATATTAAGACTTGAAAGAAATAGCCAGAACACAATTTCAAACAGAAAACAGATTCAAATTGCATTTTGTTGAAAGGGAATTGTGGTGAAGGGTTGATAAATAATGAAATAGTTAAGCTTGGAACTGCTTGTCATGTCGGGATGGAGTTTTCTGAGGAAGGGTGGGGTACAACACTTGATTAAAATTATATGAAAACAAGCTATAAATCTTAGATGTATAAGTGGGTGATTTTCCTTCCTGAATTTAGGTTTCCCTCTGTAAAAAGCATAATCAAGAAATAATCAGCTGAGGTAATTTCATAGATAGGCAGGAACATCAGTGCAGTCTGGGGTTGATTGAAGTGGAAAAGTTGCTTAATCTAGCAATGCTGAGCACCGTCCTGAGATGCACATCCTTTGAGGAGAGCTGTGACTTTCCCACTTAAAACCCTGTGGATAAGTCAATGTGATTAATCAGAACTGCAGTGCGCTAGGCCTGTTGAGTCCAGTCATGTTTCACACTTCTTACATGATTGTCACTGAGGAGAATCGCAAAGGAAACATTTTTATAGATGATTTTAAAGCAATATATTTTCATAAAGAGTGAAATTCCCCAAGTTTAAACAATGCGTTTTCGTGTTTTTTCTATGTATTTTTTTAATAGTTTATGCAAATCGAAGGCCATATTGCCTTCACGCAACTAGGAAAAGCTGGGAATCATGTAGAGCGATAAAAGAAATACTATTTTAGCATGCAGATGCAATTTAATGTGTCAAAAGAGAGGAGAGAGGGGAGGGTAGGAGATCAAAATCAAGCAGCTGAAAAGGGCAGATGGAGTCAGAGATATTAAAGCAGTGCACCGCAGAGCTGACGCGCTGAGGCTTAACATCTAAACTGGGGGCGATTGATTGGTGTAAGAAAAAAAGTCAAATACATCTGAGGGGAATAAAAACCTGTAGGATACTAAAGACAGTGTACAATGTTATAAAGCTTTTACAGATTTTTCAGGATTTTACTTCTGTCCACTTGAAAACTATAAGAGAACACATGTAAAATATATACTGTATATTTCAAATTTTGTTTTATGTTTCGGAATTCCATGTAATTCTTGTGAAAGAAAGCAGTGCTTTAAATTACAGTGCACTGTCATGTTATTTTACCATACTCAAATTTAGTACATCCAAATAAATGAGTAAACAAATATTTTAGCAATTCATAAAACCTACACAGGCTTTTGCCCTTAATCACTGACCAATTCAACTGTTGAAGACTAATACTGAAAGAGGATGCGATGCAACTGTGTAAAATATAAATCATATTTTTGTAAGTATGCACTTATAAAGCTGAAATCTTTTTGTTGCACTGTTAACTCATGGGTATGAATTCTCTGGTATGGCCACATATGCGCAGTAAGAAACAGCCTGTTTGCTCAGATGTGTGTTCTGAGCTCTGCCAGGTTTAATGAATGCCATTTAGTTACATGATCAATAATGATCATATTTTTGTAAGTACTGTATGCACTTATAAAGCTGAAATCTTTTTGTTGCACTGTTAACTCATGGGTATGAATTCTCTGGTATGGCCACATATGCGCAGTAAGAAACAGCCTGTTTGCACACAGGTGATGTGTGTTCTGAGCTCTGCCAGGTTTAATGAATGCCATTTAGTTACATGATCAATAAAGATGAGCGGGCCTGCCCCAGAAGCGGCCATGGTTACAGATACTCATTGCGTGACTGTAAGGGGACCTGACTGTACGGTATTGCCCCAGATCTGATGGTAAGCTTACCTGTGGACACTTGAAAGTGATCCATGCTGTGTGATTAGCCTTGCCAAGGGCAGAGGGATGGAACTGAACAGGGACTCTGGTCGTCGAGTGTGGCGCCACAATCAGCTGAAAGGGAAGAGTTGGGGAGGATCAATACTTGTTATTTCGAGTGAGATCCTCTTTATGTTTCACAATGACAGGAAAATTTTGATGTGATTAATGTGTTATGTGCAATGTTTTCACCCTCTGGAGTCTGCCTTGCCTGTTTGAATTTATTAAAGGCCATTTGTCTATGAGGCTTTGACTGCTTGTCTGAGCACTTTAAATGTGTATGAGCAACCCAGGTTTAATGAAAAAATCTTTAACAAATAATGCTGTATTAAGAGTATACTAAGATTAGTAAGCATATTTTACATCTGTACGGAATCTATAAAGCATGCAAAACATAAATAACTTTAATTCGTTTTATAGCATTAAATTTAGCATGATTTGTGATGATTTATATATTCGTTTTAAATTTAAAAGCAAATATATTCAGTTATTTACATCCTTGAAGAATTAATGTACACAGATGGGTATCTGGAATGAAAAAAATAAATAGAAACTGCAAATGTCTGCAGTTGTTTTCTTTTCATTTAACCTGGATAATATTCTAATATTCTCTCTCACTATTTTTCCTCACTCAGTTTTTTCAAATGGAAATCTAACATTCTATATTAGTAAAGTTTGTTATGTTTACATCCATTATTTTGCTAAAAATTCAAATCTGAACTGGATGAAATGGCAACTTTCTTTTAAAGTCTTACAATAAATATTGCATTTTATAGCTTAATTATCATCATACTTAAAAAGAAAAGAAATGATTTAGGAGAGGGAAAAAACACAGTTGTGCCTAACAGTGAACTCTAACTATTATTATCCAGTTTTAGTATGCAGAGAATCTCATTAAATAATAAGCAGAATAAAACTGTTTCCAGCAGTAAAGGTCAGCTGAAGCTTGTGTCTGAAAGGAACTTACAAGAGCTTAAACAAGAAAGATCACTGCTGCAGGCTTTTACAAAAACAAAAAGAACACTTATCTAAAGCCAGGGTAACTGTAATGATGGGTCTTTGTTTTGTGAACATGCTCCTTTTTCTAATTTTAAGATATCAACAATGTTAGTGTCACTCAATGAAATCTCTGTCTCTGACACTTTCCAGAAGTAATCCTCAGTATAATAAGAAAGATTGCATTTTTTTTTACTTACTGGTCTCTTAGGATCTATCTCCACAGAAAAATTTCTTGTGTTACTGTTGAAAGTTTCCAATTCCAAGGTTTCATCTGTAGGATTAACTAAAGAGATAAACTCACGAGTCCATCTGTGGAAAAGGTAATATCCGGAAAATTCAAGGATTTTGACTTAAATTCAAGAAAAATTACCCTTTTAAATAATATTAGGCAGAAGTATTTACAATTCTGTAATCATGGTACTAACTGCTGTTATTTTTTCATTAAAAAGAAATTCCATTAATATATTTTGCATCATAGAAATAGGTGAAGTAAATTCACTGTTTCTCAGGACTATCAAGTTCAAGTGTTACGACACAAAGAAACACCAGCCTGTTATCTTTAGTAAAGATTTACTTACTCTCTATTTAGTTATTCTGTCTATATAAAGTATCGTATATTCATTATTATCTATTCAGTACTTTCTAAGGGGTTTAATAAATCATGAGCCAGATTAACAAAAAATATCAAACAATCAGCTTCCTTCACAAACTAGTATTTACCGTAAACCAATGATCGATGTTACAACTGTACGAGTGCTTTAAACTTTCAATTCAATTCAATGAATTTTCATATAGCACCTTTCACAACAAGGTTGTCCCAAGGTGCTTGAACAAGTCATCTTTTTTCACGCTACAGATATGTCATTACAAAAGATGTCGATTATAGTTGTCAAAGTAAAACCACCAAAACCTCTGCCTCTATATCACATTACAAAATGTGTCTGCTTCTGCACGCCCATTTGTAGCTTAATTGTAAGGAGGGATCCTCATGTTCGATTTTGTAAATATGGATACAATAAAGAAATCTCATTCAGAACATTAGAAAGAGTGCAAATTACAGTAAATTATAAACTCATACAAATTATAGTCATTCAACCTATTTCCTTATGCTCATCTTGGAGAGGAAGCTGGGGTATGCGAAAAGACGAATTCCTAATGAAAGAAATTGTATAGGGCTAATAAAGCAACATTATTATTATTATTATTATTATTATTATTATTATTATTATTATTATTATTATTATTATTACATTATAATTATCTGATAATTTTGTAGCTACGTAAATCTAGTGTTTCTTCCAGATATGTTCTTAAGGAGCTAGGAATCTGGCCCTCCACCAACTGGCTGGGAATTTGGCCTCAACCAGCCTGTTCCAGATACCCACAACACCTTGTGTAAAGAAACATTTTGTGAAAAACCTTCTGGGGTAACTTTCAAACCGACTCAACACCCCGTGGGCCTTTATAATCGCTCCAGATTTCATGAGTTTTAGTCCAGATGTTTTAGTTTCCATACGAAATTGAAAATCCTGCCAGAAAAAAAAAAAGTAGGATACCAGCAACTTTATGGATACGCAATAAAGACACACTTTGCCAATTCAGTGCCCAGAGGTGTAAAGCTAGCATCAATCCAAAGCTGAGGTTGGGGTTTGATGGCAATAGGTTAGATTTAAGGCACTATTGCTATAGTTTTTTGAACTACAGATACACAAAATAATTTCACATGGCATAAGTAGAGAGAGAATGGAAGGTGCCGCCACAGCCATTATTGCTGTGTTCTTTTAATAAATTAGATACATTTGATCAAAAGTGGAAAATACAATGTATAAAAAGATCTTATGTATTATATATCTTAAAGCTTATGTATTATTTAATGAATATACACGTACAATGATGTCTAAATGTAGAAACATTCACTTCAACTGGCATTTATTGTATTCTAAACAGAAAGCATCCATCCACCTACTGTTTTTTCTAACCACTTCTTTCAATTCAGGGTTGCTGAGGAGCCAGAGCCTCTCCCGGCAAGCACTGGGCATAAGGAAGGGTACACCCAGGTTTCCCACAAGCCAGTTAACCTACCCATAATTGATTTACTGTGGGAGGAAAGAGGAGCACCCAAAGGAAACTCAACATACAGACTCCACTCAGATAGTACTCCAGGTCTGGAATTGAGCAAGGCATTGATACTAACCTCTGTGCCACCGTGCTGCCCCAGAAGGTAGGCACTTGACATTAATCAGTAATGGAACAAGTAATAGGTTTATTCCACGCAGAAAAAAAAAGAAGAAAGAGAACACAACGTTTCGGCAATGGAGCCTTCTTCAGGTGTCCTGAAGGTTGACACCTGAAGAAGGCTCCACGGCCGAAAGTTGTGTTCTCTTTCTTCTTTTTTTCAGCATGGAATAAACCTATTACTTGTTCCTTTGCAGCTTATGCATGCTGACACAGCTACCCACCTGAACTATTAATCAGTAATGTGCAACAGGCTTTATTAAGATATAAATAACCATATAGCTGCAGATCTCTCTCTTGTTCTCTCTTCGAGCAAGTTCTCTGTGCACATTATTTAGAATCTGAAAAAAGACTTTCAAGTCTCCAGTCAGTGTTAATCATTACTCATACATTCTATGTGCCCTGATGTTAACTGTGAAGTACAGGTGCCCACCCACGGTACGGTATATGAATGCATTTCTGAATTATTGTAGGTGTAAAGATAGTGTTATGCAAGAATAATTCCAATCCTTAGAGCTGAATGAAATTCAGCATCGAAAAAGCATCGAAAAAGTACGCATTGTGGCACAAACACCATCTACACAGTTCTATGGTATCCTCCCTCAGGTATTATTTTGCACATAAGACCAAGTAAGGAAGTCAGAATCTGATTCAGGGTTCACAGTTTGGGAGGGTAATGGCTCAAACATGGATATTGGCTCAGCAGAACCTAGTAATATACAAAATACCACCCTTCCATGTTACAAATAACACCATGTTTAGTGTTCTACTTAATTTACAAATGAGTAATTGCGTACAGTAAAAGTACCAGCTGGTTTATGTTAATATTCGGTTATAATTTAATTTTATGGTATAGTGTAAGTGGGGTTGTGTTAAAAAAGATTAGATGAATGTTTACTTGGATATCAAGACCTTGTCACAACAGCCATTTTTTAATGTCTCAGACCAACACTCTGACTACTGCAGAATTGGAAAAGTTGTACCTATTCAGATTAGGAATGAAGTACTAGTAACTTCTAAAAGAACAAAAGCATTATGTACGTTTGACTTAAATATGTTAATACAGACACCAAATTGCCATGTTAAATGACGTTTCAAAAAAACTAGAATGAGTTTAACTTTTTGATTGTACTTTGTTTTCTTTATTTATTTATGATGATGAATTAAATGTTATTTTATGAAAGTGTATAAAATCGTGTTCATAAAAAAACTAGAATGATTTGACAGAATTGTTTCTTTTCTAAATATAAAACAAATCAACAAGCCTTTATCCCTGTGCATTGTAATGCACAATACCACCCCCTTTCATATATTTTACAAATCATTTCATTCCTTTTTTTTGAAAGGTAGGGAAGTACAACAACCTAAGATCAGAATTTGCCATGAAAGGATACTTCTTCAAAAGTATCAAATGTAACTTGTAGAATCTTCAAAACCATATCTTTCATGAAAGCAGTACATCAGATCTTTGTGGTCTAGAAGCAGATCTGTTACAACATATGCTGTACAGAGGAAGCTCTCACAAGTACAAGTGGCATTGCTTTGATGTTTAAACCATGAATGTTAAATTCTTATGGCAAGTTCACTGTCAGCTTAGAAGGAGGAACCTTGTGGAAATGTTTTCTGACAGCTATACAGTAAAACTGGATGGCTTAAGTAAGAAATGAACAAAGTAACTTAGGCTTAGTCCCTTCTCTGCCACAGTGGTTCAAAAACTTCATTACAGGCATTTAAAAAATGGTTCTGATTCACTGACTGTTTTTGGAAAACAGTTACACAGCGATTACAGTACAGCGATTTCAATTACAGCAAAATATGTACTTACTTCCCGAGCTCACATCTGCACTCTGGAAGAGTTGTTGGCAAAGGTCGGTCAGCTATTAGTTCCAATTCATACCAGAACTCTCCTACAGCATCAGACTGGAATATGACACTGCACAAAAGAAGGAGTCAAAAAAAGGAAATTACTCATATTTTAAACAGGGATTTTCAACCAGTGCGCATGGGTTACTAATGATTCCAAACACAGAACAGAATTAAAAGTACCGTAGCTCGAAACTGCAGTACTGTAGCTATGGCACAAAGTAAAACGGCTCACTCTCCAAACTTACTGTTTGACTGTAATACACCCTTGAACAGGCAGGCACAGAGAAGCTCAACAAGGCAAAAGCACAGTGAGGGAGCTGGCTGGGCCTGCAGAGATCCACCGCAGGAGCCTATTGCAGAGGAATTCTTTTTTTTAATACAGGGATCTAGATGGATGGGTTCTGTGGTCCTGGATCAAAGGTTACTGAACACATTTTTTTTTATTTCTCTAGAACTAAGATGGCTAATAAATATATAGATTACATTAAAACACTGACTTCCAAGTAGAGTGCGAAATTTCAAAATCAGTAAAATGACAAACAACAATAAGACAGGAAAAACACAAAAGACAGATTAAGCGGTATTATTCTTTCTTATCTGAACCAAACAGAGCACAGAACAACCAACAGGAAAACTGAATGTTCAAAGGTTTCCAGGATTTTTTCCCCCTTTTGATCATTTAATCATATTGTTTTGTAATACTGATTGAAATGTATTTTTCTGGGCCATGCCTTGCATGTTCAGAAGTTTGGTAACACCAAATTATTTTGCAGAAAACCCACTAATTAACGGAAATTCTCATTGCACATTTGACACAAAAGCTTTATTTTGTGTGTATGTGTGTAATTTAGGGTTATATGGTAAAACCTCTTCCAGTGCCAACATAACAAATGATGGGAAGCAGTCCTGATACAAACACACTACTGTTAAAAAACCCAAACAGATGCTGTGGCAGAAAAATAATCTGTATAAAAACATTTGGGAATATGTTTTCTTAGCTTTGACGAACATTAAAAAATAAAAGCAAAATATGACTTCATAAATAATGTACAAAGAGGGAAAAGAACAAAAGGATGTTACAAAATTAGACTGCATTAGACTGCATTAGACTGGTATTAGACTGCATATGGATAAATCATGTATTTACAAATTAGCAATCCAAGCAATTACATGCACTTGATAATCAGATAATAAGTCAAGGCTAAAACCATAAGTTTCTTTTCAATATCTTAGCTCCAGAGTTACAGATACTGAAAATACTATACTAAGTGCATATACTATAATCCTATACTATACAAATACTATACTAACTGCAAAGAAACATCAACAACTTGTAAAGGTGATTAAGTTTGCAAGGCACAAGTTTTGTTTTTATAAAGGTGTGTATCAATCTTTCAGCTTCAAACTTTAATCTAAGATTTGATTTCAGCACTATCATCAACAGCACTGATGTCACCAATTTTGCAAAGTTTATATTGGGAGACTGAGAATAACTTTATTCTTGCCACTGTTTAATTTAAAAGGGTTCTGTAGAATCATAGTGAATCATCAGCACATCTTTAAATATGTTAAAAAGTCCCTGAGTACTGTAAAACCTGACTAACATGTTCAAAGAGTTTACTAAATAGATGCAAGATGAGAATCTGTAAATGAGTTGTCACTACCAGTATCAGAATTTATGCAAGACAAATTAAAAACGGTACAATAGTTGTTAATTACTTAGCATTCCTTGTTATTGTTTTAGCATAGGTGTGATAGCAGCAGATTTGTAAACCTACAGGAACAAGCATAGATTTCAGGTGCATACTGAGGAAGTCAGCAACAAACGGACAAACACCTGAGAAGCTACTTTGAGTAGGGGCAAAGCAATATGGCATAATACACAGGGAGCAGGTCTCATTTACCTACTCAGTTACATACAGTAGGCTGCATCATCAGCAGTAAAACAGCAGGTAATATAATCCATAAGAAATAGAATATTAGCAGACAAAGTAGGATTAGTAGCTCTGAAATCTCAGACGAACTAAGTATAAGGTTTAGGGGAACAACTAACCAGAACGAGCAGTAGAGACTAAGACCCTTTAGTGTAAAAAGCCAAACATTCAAAGGATGTACGTACCATTATTCTTAGAATTATATTTTCACAGCATGTATGGTAAATAATACATACGAATGTTATTCTATGATGAGCATGCAATAAACTGGTATACAGCTTTTCTTATTATTGCTGTTATTCTCAAATTCACACAATGCAAAAATTACAGCAACATGGGGAGTCTGCGGATTATAAAGTTTTTTGGGGTTTTTTTTGGTCTTTTTAGGCTAAAAGTCAGCGGGTTTGAACACTGGCATCTGTAATGCAGCACAGTCATCAATAGCGTAGGCTGCAAGCTGAAGTCCACTCAGCAGGGTCTCAGTGTTCAAGATGTACTTAATCTTAGAGGAACACTCAAGGATAACTTTTTGCTCACATAGTCACTGGCATAGCAATAGGGTGCCAGCTGGAAAAGTGGTTATTTCCATGAATATTTTTACCATAAAACTCATTTCCCTTTGTTCTGGATACACAGTGGAAAAAAAAGTGACATTAGAACATTTGTTTTTTTCTGTCTTTTGGAACTCTTTAAGATATTATTTGAAAGTATCACAAATAAATATTTACATTTAAAAATTAAAATGTAAAAAACACAGAAAACAGAAAATCCATCTCCCGCAGTGATGTCATTGTCAGTGTCACTAACCAACTAGCTTAAGAAAAGGTATTTGTTTCAATATTTCAGGGTTTACATGACCTTTCTTCCCTGCAAAGATATTCTGAAATTAATGTAGCCTGCAAACCACGTCTGTGAGGTCTATTCACTCAAATGAAAACATTTTTTAAAGGAAAAAACAATGCAGTTAACAATGAAAACTATGGTACTATATATTTTCAAAATCATGCTGAATAAGAGTATGATGTAGGTAACACCACCACTAAAGGCAAAACTTGACAAAAACTGAAAGACTTACCTTGCTGTTTTCCTGCCAGTTACAGCAGGGGCAAACTTAGCCTGGTATAATATGCTTTCCTCTGGGCTTACAACTAAATGTCTCTCTCCAGAAAGGTCATCACCCAAGAGGCACACATCCAGACGCAGGGTTTCCTTCGTCGGATTGGTGACAGGGATCTCCACAGTCACACTGTTCTAAAAATACACATATAACACATCATAATGAATATCTGTGATCTTTCTTAAGACTATATACTGTACTTTATGATTAGTCAAAACGTTAATCAATTTATTTGACATTGGAAAGATAGCAAAGAGAGTAAAACATTGTTGGATTTTTTAAAAATGGAAAAAATGTCTTTAAGTCTTCCTTAAATCTCTCCTACAGATCCAGGCTTCAGAATGCAGGCTGGATAACGCAGTACATTGCATCGCGCAAACCTCAAGGAACCGCAGTTCATCATTAAAAATATTCCGTTGTTGGACTGCACAACTTTGTAAAACAACCAGGTGGAGCAGTGAAAGCTTACCGTGGTGTCACATCTGCCGCTAATCGGAACCCTCCTCACAAACGGAAGCATGTCGCCAGAAAACACCTGGTTTTGAATCCCAGTTAGTGTTGAGTCCCTTGAGACAATCTTTTTCCAGTTATAGGATTGAAGTTGTATACTGTTTACACTTTTATTAATTTTAAATTGTGTATTGCAGTATGTTAAATATTAAATGTTAAATTGCTGTTTTACATATTAATATAGAATCACATAACTAATTTCTTTAGTTACGTGATTCCGTTAATATTCCCTATTAAGTGTATTCTAAAAGGTACAACGATAGCAAGTATTCATAGAAAAGGTAAAAAACTTGGTTTTTATAAACTATACCAAAACTTAAAATAGGTAGACTGAGCCCAAAAAAACTTTTCCAAAATAACCACAGAAAGTGACAGAGACTTTCCGGATAACGTTTATGAAGAATGTGGAATACGCTGGTGTATTTTTTTTATTTTTAGCTACCACTATCAGCCATATACAGTTTGTATAGTATATTTACTGTATATGCCTAAATTAATATTGTTTATGACATTCAGAGACTTTATGCTTCTGTCATTTTTATGCTGGGCTATCACAATTTCCCATTAGTAATTGTTTCACTAAGATCTAATGCACCACAAGTGCCACCTATCAATATCTTCGGCCTGTAAATTCCATAACGCAATGCACCGCGTTACTTTTAACATACAGTATAAATATGTGGAAGACATACAGTACTGCACATTCGGAATAGCTGCATCTGTACAGTAGGTCAAAAATGAGATTCATTCATTTGTATTCATTCATTTGGTAGTATACATTGTGAGAGGATGATGGCTTCAGACAAGGTGAAGACTCTGAACTCCATTCCCCTGAAGGGAAGCAGCCTGCTGCTGACAGTTACATGACCAATTGGTGGATTTGCTGAGCTTTCCAAGATAGGCTGCTGAGGTCTGCTACAAGACTGCAAGGGGACTGCAAAGAGAAGAAAAGTGCTCTGCTCTGCAGTGACTGACGTGCCCACGGACATGAGATCCGTAAATTTTGCATTTGAACCAGTTAACAGCTTAGTTGCTCGAGTGTTAAGAAAATTAAGTCTAGTGTTCAGACATAACTAGGCTTTTGTTTTCTTGTTTAGTTGTTTGTGTTTCCTTTATTTTGTGTTATTCTTTATTAAATCGTAGTGCTATTTTACACCCATGTTGAAGTAATGTGTTTTCATGTGCAAAGATCTCCAAGGCATATTCCCGGAAAAAGGGATCGTTCACGATATGTGTCCTTTCTTATCTCATTCCATCTAATACATGGAACAGAAATCTGTTCAGAAAAAGAGTGGATTTATATACCAAGCAGCATTAAAAATACAATAACTGCTATTGAACCCAATACTCAAATCTTGACAATACAAAATAATTGAATACCATTCCTTTACTACAAAATTCATCACAGTTTGATCTTTCCCTTTTTTACATACATTGCCCAAACAAAACCATAAACATGTCAACTATAAAGGACACAAAGTAAATTTCGCCATTGCCTGAGATAAAAAGAAATTAAAGGTAAAAATGATTTAGGTTCACCAGGACATCCCAGTTTGTATGTATTCTCTTTCTCTCTTATACTATTAATTTTCTTTTCAGGAGTTTTTCCAATATACTGTGGATTAAAACATACAGTACTTCCAGCTTTATATTAAGTTGACAAAATTATAGAAAAGATAATTGGATAGATATATTTAAATTTAATTAAAAACAAAAGAACTGCTCCTCCATTTAATCTGTAAGAAAATGCGCAGATATTCAGAAGTAAGCAAACATACTGTAGATCTTAAATACAAAGTAAATGTTGAATTGCGTTCTTATTTGTCAAACTGACATTCATGACCAAACAGCTAATTTGATATGATTTTAAATGTGTTCAATCTCATGGTAGTGCTTTAGAGAACAAGCTGCTTACATGGAATGTACCAACGCATGATAGAAATGTTTTGAAACAAGCTAAGGGTAACAGAAGCACAAACATACTGTTAATCTTCTGCCCTCGCTTATCTATAATTTAAACAAACATATATCTTTTAAAATTTCTAATAGCCAGCTCCAGTGAAATAATCACTTGAACACTATACATAGATATTACTAGTCAACAGATTTGTTACAGCTTATGCTACAGAAAGAGAACAGGGGAAATCAGTCTGCTTAATTCCACACTGGAACATAGTACATCAATCCCATGGAAGCCACTAGGAAATATTGGCACACCCACTCATAATTCTCTGGCAACAATGTTTATGAATAAATGTATTCCACATTAAAATGATGATTGCTATTATTAATGTAGTTCGTATCCTGTAAAATGTTATTAAGTATCGGAATACTGAAATATTACATAGTTTTGGCATTACGATCCGCATTATAACCCAAGTGGTAATTAGAGATTTGAAAACAGAGTGATGTTTCCTGTTTTGAGCCACTCTAGGAATATCAACAAGCATTTATCTCCATTAAAGCAAAAATGAATGCATCTCCTATATTTCAGAAGCGGTCCTGTGATGTATTACTCTCAGGATACAGGGTTCCAGAACTTATTAACATACATTAAGTTTTAAGGTTACTACAGTATAAGCAACAAAATGCAGGGTGTGTGTTCTCTAACAGGACATAAAATTATAAGCACAGTATATGCTGCTATACCATCAACACCTTGTAACAGGCAGTCAGCTTAATCACCACCTGAGTGGAGACATGTTTTGGTCCTTAAGATCATGATACATGACATCTGCTCTCTTCCCTATTTATACTATTTAAAAGCCAGAGAGGCCAGTGAAAGACTGTACACCAGGGTCCGGTGAGAGAGTCCACCTCTTAAAGAGATGAACTGTGAGAGTGAGAGAGAGGAGACTGAATACCAGATGTGAATGACCCTAAATCCAAAGTCATGCTGTGCCGCTAGCCGTAGTGCTGTGCTATTTAAAACAGTCAAGTTCTGTGACAAGAATAAAAAGAGCTGTGTTGCACAGAAACACACTTCCTGGCCACGCATGGTCCACTCTTTACCTGTCTGCGACTTCTATATGTTCAGATACATGGATCTTATAACTTACACTTTCATAAAACTGAGCTCTCTGTGCAAGGCAAGGCAAATACTGTAGTTTCTATAGCCATGTGAAATCTGCGAATCATCAGTTTATATATCCACTCTACAGGTTGTACCAAAGCTTTATGTGCTCAAATGGTTCAATGAGGGTTAGGTAACCACAAGACAGGGTACAGTACATGCAGTTTTTCTGTTTAAGACGAGAGTGATTGTAACTAAAATACAGGTACAGTATCTTCTTACTAAAGGTAAGTTTTTCTTAAACCACCAACTAAAGCTAGCAAGCTGTGTCTACCTTGAATTTGTCCACTCAAGGCTACAAGATCAACCATAGGCAAAAGTTACCAAGCACTGACAGTTCTAATAAATAGCCAAGGGCTATACAATGCTACAGTGCACAGTATAGGACAATATCAGAAGGAACAAGATCGGGATGTCCCAAGCTTTGTAATAAAGACATATCCAAGCGAAATAAGAAGATATTTGGAATTGAACCTGACAAGCGAGAAACTTTGGCAAGTAATCAGAACAAATGGTATCATTGTCTGCACCAGGCAATCAAAGCCTGTGACAGAAATTGGCTGCAACAGCCACAAGAGAAAATAATCTGCAGGAAGCAAGAAGCTTCCTAAGCATGTCATATACACTTGTAACCACTGTCATAGATCATGTAAATCTCAGATGAGACTATTCAATGACATGAGACATTGCAATCCATTTACGTTATAGACTTCAATATCCAGGAACACAAATACCGTAGTCCACAGGAACAGGAATAGTCCACCTGTTTTCTGAGTAAAATCAAAGACACTAGAATGCAAAGTTCAAATTTAACTATTCATCAAACATAATTTTCTTCTGTTGAGGGATGTCATCATATAGATATTCATCTGTGTCTAAGGCAGGGCTCAGCTGGGAAATTGTGATAAACACAGTGGATTACTGCAGATGACAGCTATATAATATTTTCCTGTTTCATGAATGAGGGATATCTAACCAGACAGAGGGCATTAGCACAGAGAAAATATTATTGTGCAAGTGACCAGGAGCCTTTCTCTATCATAGATTCAGTGTCCATAGTAGCCTTTGAAAATATCTAGATTCCTTTAGATTGGAGTTGTACTGTATACAGTTGATCTTAAATTATGTTCTCAACATCTACTGTACCAGTTACAAAGGATCTCAAGTGTTAACCAGTAATTAGGTGGTACATGACTTCCACCATATCTTAAACATGTCCACTCAAATTTACATTGTGAAAAAGTTTGTTAATAAGTTTTGTAAACCTTATCACTTTAGGCCTTAACATAAATTCCATACCACAACTGATTTTAAGTTTAAATTTATTTATGGGAAGTTTAAAAGGACAGTGCAGTGTAGTGTGTATGTTTCTGGATTCAAGTCTCTGCTGCAGACACTGCTGTTACACCTGCTGTTGAATAAGGTACCGTTGCCCACTGGTTCCAATCATACAAACCTGTGATGGACCAGTGTCCCAATCAGAAGGGAGTCATGTGCTCTTTTGTCCACCTAACTCTATGTAAACTAGGATAATTTCAAGGCTGCTTGCTGTAGCTCTGACATGGACTTATTTACTTCTTACATGGGAACAACAGCTACAGTATCACCCTGCATTCAGTTAACAGCAATACAATCAGTAGCTCAGTCTTCTTGAAGCCCCCAAATACTTTCTTTCTAAATGTAACTAACCATTTTCTGTACTCTGAAATACATTTTTTCAATGCACATGAAAGGGCATAAATGAAACAAGTGTGAAACTGTGCAAAATCAATTACTTAAATCTCTCTGGGAAAATGCATACATTTGCATATTGATTGATCTTTTACCACAGTTGTGGGAAACGAACTTATTACTTCTGCATAACACCGTCAATATCATACCCATCCATATGCAGTATACAGTATATTATACACCACATGTATACACAACAGCTGCACGCTAGCTAGGATTTGAACTCCTAGCCTTCTAGCAATGAGTCCAAAGCCCCTAACCACTAAGGCACACTTCTGCAAAATACTGCATCTGCAACATATTGTAAAGCAACCAAACAGTATCTGTTCTAATTGTATCCCATCCTCTTAAACAACCCATTTCTTTTGAAGAGAAAGTGTACTGTGATAGCCATGTGACATGAAAAAACAAGATAAAAATATATTTTTTCAGAGAAAACCAGGTTTTCAAACAGATTTCAATAAATGTACAAAACCTTATGTCAACATGGTTCCCAAGACTTTTGATAACTGTGGTTCAATATTAAAGCAGCTGGAAGGAATGCTTTTAAAAACACAGGCTGTGATCAATACACCCCTAGTGTATACAAAAGAATGACATTTTAGCCATTCATCTCTAAAACATACTCTTCTGTAAAACATCTTCGAATATCTGCAGCAAGCTGGATTTTGAAAATTAGACCAATCAGCGACGCACAGTTGAGATTGGATGTACAGTATGTGGATGAACTTGGTTGTCAGGAGAAATACACAGCTGGGCCATGAAGAACTCTGGTTTCAAAGGAAGTATTCTCTTACCTGGACAGTGCATTCAACAGAAATCACACTCACAGGTGGTGCAGGAGAGCAGTTTACTTCCAACGAAAACCACACTTCATATGCCTGTGTGGTTTCTCCTGTTGAAAGAACACATTAAAGACATCAGTATTCACCAACATAAGCTTCTCATTGGAACACACTTTTGCAGTCATTTAGTAACTGCTGCTATTGCGTCCCCATGAATTTAACAACCTCAAAATAAAATTGTGAGTTCCAATTAAATTGAGTTCTGGAATCTAACTTAGTTTCTGGCTTTAAACTAAAACTCACTCTTAAAATATCCCATCACATCTTATGCTAAGCCATGCACAAAGTTAATAAGCCTCAGCACAGCAGTGATATTTCACCTGTCTTCTCATGGCTCTATGCAGTACAGGGTTGTGGGGCGGCCGGAGCCAGTTCTGACACACATGGAGTGCAAGGCAGGACACACCCTGGACAGGATGCCAGTCCATCACAGGGCACACACAGACACAAATAGACACATGCTGTACTCCACTCACACCTATATTCCCAGAAGCCAATTAACCCACCAGTGTTTTTAGACCATAGGAGGAAACCCACGTGAACACAGGGAGAAGGTACAAATTCCACATAGATAGCACTCCATCTAGGGATCTGTTTTTTTCAATTGCAACATGGTTCACAAATATGATGCTTAAATGAAATGTCATTGCAGTATCCCACACAGGAAATACAGCATGACCTTCACAAGGTTGCATACCCTGCTTTGTTTAAAAAGATGGATACCTGTATACCATCAGAGCCTCTCGTGCTAAAAATTTTTATTTTCCTGTAATGACCGCCTTTGTCCTGCAAAGAAGATTTTCATGGGGCACTATCAAATTCTGTAGATTTCTCCCCACAATACAAATTTTAGAGTTTTTTCAAAATAAATCTAAGTTACTTAACTTAGTAACTGACAGTACTGTTTATAATAAAAGCAGTGGACTGTTATATGAAAAATATCTGGACAGTTATTAACTTATTGTGTGAATTTGACTTTGCGTTGTAGTTAGACCCTTCATTTGACTAAGAAATATTTAAAAACATCCCGGAACCTTATATGATATAGAATATTTTTTATTTTCTGATGGGAAAAGTCTTTGCAAGCCAATCAAAAAATAAAAAAAACCTTCTGTGGTGCACATTTTGTGACATTCACACAGGTATTTGTATATAGACATCTCAGAAACCTATCTCAAAACTCTAGAAGAAAAACCCCAGCTTTGTAAAGTGTCTCTCTGTATGCATGAGCTTTGTGAAAAAGAGTTGGCTGAAAAATTTATGAGATCAGTCATTCAACAATGTAAAAGTTAATACAGAATGACATTTTTATTGAGTACCAGAACAAACTAATTTAAAAGAGGGACATTAATTTTTATTATTTGCTTAATTAATTGGCATTCATTGTGAAAGCTTTGGAGAAGAAAAATCCCAGTCTATGCCACCCACTGGGTTTCTAGGGTAGAAATGTGACTCTTTATACCAACATCGTTCAGCATTCATGGTGGCAACGGGCTGCTTTCATCCCCAGAGCCACCACCGATGAAGACACTCTGGTTTTGTATCAGTTGGCAACACAACGAAAATAATATTCTTTGGGCTACCTGAACAATTCCACCCACTGCTGATCTACAAAAGAAAGATCATGTCAAACTGGAGAGCTAAACAGGATGGTTCCACTCTGGATTCGGTTCAAATACACTCTCAGGCTTAAAAGAATGACAGGCAAAAGGAAATTAAGTTGTCATGTCTTGGACAGAGGAGGCATATGAGGGGGGCTGACAAAAAAAAAAACTTCAAGTGCATAGACAAAGTCAACCAACTGTATTTGACGTCTTTAGAGCCAACAGTGGAAAATGGAACAAGACTGGAACAAGCTACCCATCCATGTTGTTGAAACTCACAACTTGGCTCATTATGCTTTTAATGATAATAAATGCTTCTATTTATTTAGCATTTTTCATCCCAAAAGACCCAAAAGCCCCTCAAAAATACAGTATGTGGTGAGCCACTTGATCCACCAATTTAAGTATAGCCCACACCTGGATGACATGCTGCAGGAATTAAGCACCAGATGTTCCTTCAGGATCAGAAGCAAGGTGAGAAATTACACCACGAATGAGGGAGAGTTTTGTTTTTATGGAGGTCAGGTTTTACAAATCCAAAATGGAATTTATCCAAGACACCAAAATGAACACCTTCAGCAAAGCTGAAATGATGAAAGCTCATCATTTTTGGCAAACCCGATGACTCATGGAATATCAGGAAACAGTTCTCTGTAGTAAGAGTTAACATTGTTTTTTGGATTTGCTCTGATCAATAGTACAACAATGGTTCATTTAAAGATTATCCTTCTGCCGTTCACCTTCATGTGCATGGTGTTAAGGGAAGGCAGGCATTCAAAAGAAAATAAAAGGTTTTAAATATACCTTTAAAATGGCCAAGGCTACATATAAATAATAATAATAATATTTCCACTTAGTGAGGAAAATGACACTGAAGATTGGCAACTTAATTTTCTCTGTAATTAATCTCTTTTAGCACCAATTAACAAGTGTTTTTCAGCATTAACTTTGTTGCTTTAAAATTCAGCAGCTAGAAAAAAACAATCAATGAAACTGCAGATCAACGTGTTAAATTATTTTGCAATCCCAGAAGTGTAATTGTTTGTTAATTAAAAGGCAAAACCCTTTAGCCCAGTCAGTGCACTTACTGTAAATCTACAATTGGTAGTATGAAGATATACTTCTCCATGCCTCCACACCTCTTCAATGGATTACATGAATATGCAAAAAAGTGTCATTGTCAGATAAGGATCTGAGGAGCTCATTTTAATATTTACACCCTGGAGGAGGCCACTTACTATGTCTTCAAGTAATTACCAGTGGTGTACAGTCCGTGTTGAAGTGTTAGAATGTGAAACAAATGCATATCTTAAACAAACATGCAGTAACTGTTGATTTCAGGTCTCCCACAACATAGTTTGCTCACACGCAGAAGTCTACAGCCAGCTACAGTAAAACTAATAAGATATGCTTGTCACATTACCTCAGTTAAGCCTTGACTAACGTAACTGACTAACTTTAGCTTTGACATGACTCTGAAAGAAGTTATAAGTTTTATATAAGGTTAGTATGCAAAAAGCATGCATTTAAACTGCCTTCTAAAGCCCATACAGTACTCAAGAAAGTCCTTTTTCATATGTATTTTAGCATCGTACTAAGCTCAGCACATTTGGTACAGTAGGTTAAAAATGAAGTTAGGATTAGGGTTACAGTACCCCTTAAACAGGCTCATGATAATGTCGTACAGTATATGCATTGTGAATGGGAATACAAAATGTAGTATGAGTGGTGCTTTGTGCTAAGGTACAAACGCTGGGGCAGTTGTCGGTTGGGGAAATAGTTTTCACTCAGGCAAAAGTCTAAATCTCTTTTCTATTAAACTTTTACAATATGTTCAAATCTTACATCACACTGTCTTAGGTAAGCCATGAGGAATGCAACCATCGGCTTGATTGATGTCAAAGTTTTATTGTGTTTGTAATCTTACTGAAGTGAAAAGATTAGATAAATGAACTAATAATCACCTTCTGGAGTCTATAGAGAAAAAGTTTTATGGTATGGGATACAGGTATTTAAAGCATTATTCAAAGTCAAGCAACAGCAATTTGCAACTTGTTTTACAGTCTTTCACAGTCAAAAGCTGATATTATTCTTTGAACTGAAAAACTACAATCAAAATCTGAAACATGAAGAATTGAGGCATTTATGAATCATTATGACAAAAAGTATTATTAGGCAATAACAGATATCTTGTGATAAAGAAAACTGTTTCAGCAAAAGTATGATTTTCTAATGCCCTATTTAAAAAAGTCACAAAAGACAGTAAATCGATAAATAACTCAATTTTTTTTGTCATTCAAAATCCCTAGAGGTTATGAGCAGAAATTACCTGCCACATATTGTGTAGATACAGTATATGTCACACTGTAACGTTGCATAAACCTCTAAGACTGACTTTTAGCTTTCATGTGGATGAGACAGTTGTACACCTGCAGTTCTGACAAGAGGAATCAGTCATTTTCCCTTAAAATAGACATACACCTAAGTAATTTACAGGCTCACATCTGGACTTCAAGATTCTTTGATATTCCCAAGAAATTCCTAAATCCATGTCCTTACAGACAGTTTGTAAAATGTAGTATCATTCTAAAAGGAAATCACAACGCAGGACTTGACATTCCTAGAAATCTTCAGTCCAAGTGAAACGATAATTTTAGCACAGATATGATTTCGGATTGTTTTAAGAATATCTGAGAACACCATCCAAATGTGACCGTAATAAACTCACTTGAATCACTGAGTGTACAGGATGCTTCCCTTGACAATTGTAGGACCTGTTCACCATCTGCCTTCTCCCCTGTGTTGTCGTTCTGGGGCTGCTGTTGCTTTCCATCTTCACCAACAAATGAAATTACACCTAAAACAAATAGGTACCAGATGTTGTATTAGCTGGAGCATTAGGTTTATAAGACGGACAGCCAGCCTCATACATTATAGGCGCCTCCACTCTGCACTAATAAATATGAGACACCATCTAAATTCCAGCTGTCAGCTAACCAATTAAAATTGATTGTAGCACGGAAAGCTTTTCAGCGCATTTCAGGAAATGAAACCCGTTGTATTTCTTGCTACACGAGGATGATTCCTTCACAGGCTTACATGAAATAATTACAAAACTCGAGTGAGCCCACAGACAAATTAGCCTTTAGAAGGCTTATCGGCAGTGGATGACAGTTCTTATTTACTTTCCTTCCAAAGTAATTTTTCATGTATGGTTTAGCCAGTGACATGCTGACTATGTCACTGTTTTTGTAATGGGGTTTCATTGACCACAACAATCTCGGCTAGCAATCACTGCCTAATATGCTAATAACATTTGTTCATTTTACAAAGCCTTTCTTTGTTAGTCTCTCAAGTTTTAATCAACAAGTTTGAGGCATCATTGTTGAAATTATTTTTCTAATTGGATGTTGGGACCACAACAAATACAAGATCATTAAACACTAACACTCCAGCATATGTTTTTGAATTTTACTTTTTGATGTCAGGATACAGAACGTACTGTGTTTAATTTGTATTTTAATGGCTGTTTGTTAATATTGTCAATTATCAGTGGAATAATACCTTCGTTATGTAGGGGCACTCCAGGAAAACCAATTTTGATGGAAAATGCTATTATCAAAACCTACATATTCCAGTAAACAAAATATATCTTTGCGGACATTTCTAGACATTAATGAGATCTAGGTTAAAATATGCCCTTTTCGGCCAAGTTCATTTGCTTTGCTTTTCAATTTGTCTAACATTCCAGTAATACATGTTAGAAGCTCACAAACCAGGAGAGTAATACATATTTACACTGAGAAGGTATCTGATAATTAACCCACTCCAAGGAAAGCTGAGCCGTCTTCTACGTAATGGAACAGAATGGAATAAAGGAACAGAATGAACAGTGTATAATCGCACTATAATATTTTGTTCAGAAACAGAGATGTAACTACAATTACAATTTTTTTCTAGACAGAAATGTGTTTTCTTTTTTTAATTGAGTTTAAACGTATTGTTTTCTGTTGTGAAGAGTGACCACCTTTTTTAATTCAGATACAAACTTTACCAGGTGACAAGAGGACACCAGTCAATACAGTCAACAGAACTGACAAAATAACACAGATTACATAATGTGATACGCACTACTGCACCTTTAGCAGAGCATATTTTAAAGGTTGTATCGGATTTTATATAGAATATAGGGAACCATTCTAGTGCTATTTAGAAAAGATAGAGCAAAACACAGACTGCCTAATTGGAAGCTTCTGCAACCAACATTAAAGAACACGGGTGACTGTTATTGTATGTAGCAGTTGTGGTAACAAAATCTTACAATGAAATGAACAGTCTGGGAGCGCATAACACACCCCCTTTTCTGTGACTTTTATGGTCTCCCTGAGCAGTTCTAGGGAATTGCCTGAAACCTAATGAGAAATATGTCAGGATGGCTCAGACATAAATAGGATCTGATGTATCATAGACTTGGTATCACAGTGAAACTTGCAACATTTATTTTTTAAATGACTATTTGAAATATAGGAGCTTTGAAGTCATGTATCTCATAGTCATCTATACAGCTGTTACCAAGATTTGGTATTTTTGCTATAACACAGCTTTTTTACTACAAACAACCCTAAGATATCAGAGTAAGCTGCTTCAGTTATACTGGATGTGGATTTAGTAAAACATCAGGTTCTCCCTTAATCAGTCATGAGAGGTGGTGAATTTGTAAAATATTCAATTCTCTAAGGAATATTTCCAACTCTTTATTTCTATTAGGCATCTTTGATATTTCAGCCATATCTTGTCCTTGAGTTTGTAGAACCATCTTTTTCATAATTAGGTTGCACAAACTATTTAAAATCACAGAAGTCTGAAAAGAAGAACCATGAAATTATTAACAAAATGCAAATAAGTGTAAAACAGATTACTTCAGACAGAAATATAAACTCTATATGCTGTACAACACACCTAACACAGCTTCATACAGACCCTAATATAGACCCCAGTTTTTTGTGCCATCTACCAGAGGATTTGCCACTGAATGGCTCTGGGGAGACTTCTAAGAAACAATTAATAGGTTTATTCCATGTTGAAAAGAGAAGAAAGAAAACACGTTTCGGCTGTGGAGCCTTCTTTGGGTGTCACCTATTACGTGTTCCTTTGCACCCTACGCATGCTGACGCAGCTACCCATCTGGAGAGACTATACTAACTTTTCTCTTCCAAGGGTACTGGTGTTTCAGATATCTTCCTAGGGGAAAACTCTCAGCAACCTATTGAGTCCTATCAGCTACCCATTGAGGAATCAGGTCTTTATTTCCATTTAGGGACTAGTTCCAATGCAACCACCTCTCACTAATGAAGGTTTATTACACTGCAGCATCCCTACTTCCCTGCTCACAGACTTGGAGTATCAGAATGCTGATGGCCACCACCTGGCTTACAGTGGGACTAAGGCGTATCTTTTCCCTTTCCTAGTCTCTTAAGATCAAACCCAGTCTCAGACAGTTTACCGAAAACTATATCCTGATTTCTGATTGTGACAGAGGTATCAATCTCAGCTTCTTCCACACTGAAACCTGTTTTGTCCACCTGGACATGTCTCTGTATTATGACAGAGTTCCTAGTGCCTCACCCGATGGCACAAGGATGATACCTTACCAGAGCTCTATTATCCTTTGGATAGACACAGGACTCCAACCTTGGCACTGAGCCTGAGGAGAACAACCCATTAAACTCATCCCCATACTCATGAGGAGAGAAACCTTATACTCATTCCCAGACTCTAGAGGAGAGCAACCCATTAAGCTCATCCCCCGACTCTAGAGGAGAGATACCTTATACTCATCTCCAGACTCTAGATATCCCCTGATCCAGACAGGTACACAACTAGACAGCTGGCTACTGGCCCCTCACAACTGCTAGTGTAGACATGGATGCTCTCTCTATGATAGGCACAGATGCCATGCCTCCCTTTTGCTGCTTCTTTGCTTTTCCTGTCTGTGGGTGGCAAAAAAGCTGCAGCTGTAGGTGCGTGCTACATGGTCTGCATGTATAAAATTTAATTTAGTTTCTCAAGAGAAAAAACATGTTCATATTCCTCACCCACATTTTCCTATTCTTAATAATAATCCTACAAATCATTATTTACTCTAAGGTAATGTGAGGTTCTGTTTTCACCTGGCAAATGTGTTTTTGTTGTTACTCACACACATTTGCCTTTGTCTTAATATTTAATTCCCCTGCTACTCTCAACAGTCTGCAATGTTTATTGCCTTATATAGTATGTGTTTATACCATATGCCTTGCAAGGTTAATTTTTTCTCATGGTTACATGATTAAATAAGACTTATATAACATACCTCAGTACAAAAAGACAGAAAACAATTCTGCACTGTAAGCTTCAATACAGTAAATTCTTTTGATTTATTACCTGTGTGTGTCCCTCGTTTCCATGGAAGTATGCTGATGGGGTAAGGAACAGTGTGCCCTGGTTTGATGTCCAGTGCTGGCGGCCCACTGATCATTGACATGTCTGAAACAACCTAAGAAGACATTCAAGTGCATCTCACTCACAATGTACATAACAACAAAATAAAAGAAAGAAAAATGACTTAGTGACACAAAGCATAGAACTTTATTATACAAAGAAATCTATACTGAAAACACAGGCCTATAAGCAAGTAAATGTTGACAGTTTCAGAATCTCAAAATGGATTTTCCCAGTGGCTTCCACAGTCATGATGCTGCGCATAAGCAGGAAGACCTAAAATAGTATCTCAGACTCAGAGGAGTCTTAATCAACACCATTAACTACTCTATATGAGAGTATGATAAACTTAAACTTCAGAGGAAGAAAGTGCAATATAAAAAGAACACAACAATTTCATTGTATATACAGTAAAGCACGTAAGTTTTTTATCCCTATCCTATTATGGTTATTATTAACCTATTCAAAATTCTCTTCTGAACTGACAGGGCATTCAGAGATTTGACAAACACGGTCTGTATCTATTTTTCCTCAGCCTGATGTTCCACTACTGTATTTAAGGTTTGTCTTGTTAATTAGCATGTGGACATCAGAAAAAAAATATTTTTTTATTATTGGATGTTTATATAAATCATGAAAAAGAATTCTTATTTGATTTGCTAATTCCTAAAGAAAGACAAAAATGCAGGAGCATATTTTCCTTAATAATGAATAACTTAGACTCCTATCATTAGTTTTTGTCTCAGACAACATTTTTAAGACCAACCTACCAGGAAATCCTTACCCCTTTCAAACTGTGCACAGTAAAGTTAAATGTCCAAGGATCTGAATTTACCAAGACAATTTTCAATGGTACTGTAAGCAGGATAAAAGGACAGACCATCCAAACCAAAACATGCCACACCTGTATTACGTGGACAGATGAGCAGTGAAATTGAATTAATAGAATAACAATACAAATACTACAAATGCCACCATTGCACTGAATATAGAACTTGCACCAACCATGAGGAAAGACAACAGTGTGCTTAATTAATTTACCTATGCCTTGTAACACCATTTACTCTTGCTTTCCTCCTCAAACCATAAAGTAATATTATAAGAGTCTGACCCTGACAACTGGAGCATTATACTCTACAGTAATACCTTGGAAGGCACTGACCCGCTGAAGAGGATCACATACTGTAATAATGACACTGGGAAAAGAATATAGCACATGGATTCCCATACAAAAATCCCACAGGAATGAAAAAGACTCTTTGAAATAACAAACTCTCGGCACATTAGCAGTTAGAAAAAGAACCCCATTCCTGCCTTATGCCCTTATAACAAAAAGTCTGAGCAACATACAAGAATAAAGCAGTTAACATATGACTGATGGGCAATGTCCTGACAAGACAATCCCTTAAAAGATATATCAGAACAATATAAAAACTAATAAAACAAATGAACAAATAAAAACTGCCATTTCACAGTGATAAGTTGATGGTGTACATTTCAGAGAATGTATAGACTGTAATTATCTTATTTACAACAGTGAGTTTTGTAGAAGGGATTACTAACAATTACCAATCACCAATGACTAATTAACACCAATTAGCAATCAACAAGGTGGCAAGGTGAAAACATAGTCCTATTACCATGTACACCTCTAGGGAGAGTGTATGTTGCAGTATGCTTGTTGGAATTTTCCTGGCAGTATAAGAAGGGAACTGCAACTTTGTACTGTTCCTTTGCATGGCTCAGGAAGTTGGTGTTCGAAGTACCCATACCAACGAGTCACATTTGCATTGCTTTGTACTGACAGACAGCAGTCTATCATTTTGACTTTAATATCTTTAAAATAGTCTGACATTAATGGTATGAAATCATCACCAATATATTAAACAACAAAGATGATGAATAATAGTTAGGACACAATTCATAACCCCCGGTATATAGAGTTTTTTTTACATTTCTAACACTACAACAGATGTCAGAATTCAAGATAGACTTTGTAATGCATAAAATCATTTTAATTGCGATCAATGTACTGTATACATTCTGCACAAATGTAAAAACTTTACTAAAATTATTGAAGTAGCAATAAATTTCAAGAGAATGCAACTATGTCTTTAAGTGTTTATCACAATTAAACCACTATATCTGCTTTTTATACACTTTATATATTTTATTTGCTGTCCTATATAAAATATATTTTATACTGTTTTATATATTAGATACAGAGAATTTAACTTTTTTTGTCTTCAGAAATCAGAACAATATTCCATCTGATTAGATATCATGGAGCCGGTAGTGCTGCTAACAAATCAATAGCTTTTTGTGTTTTGTTATTCTAGCGTGCTATAAGTTTTTGCTTAGTAGTGTCTGCTCTCCCTGTATTTTCAACAGTGATAAAAACATCCTTATCATGTCAGGCTGAAATTGCCCTCATCCCCTTCAATGTCCAGGCAGTGTGAAGAAGTGTCAAAAGGTGCTCATGTGCTGGTATGTCACATTATTGTCTTAGCAAAAAAAGCACACTCAGTTGGCCATGCCTGCCCTCTGTAGGACAGGCCTTTTAGGTAAGCAGGTAATGCTGTACATGAATGCAGCTATGGTATATGTATAGCCTCCTATCACTGTCTAGAATTGAAATTGAAAATAGAGTTGCACTTACTGCACTCCTCACAATTCTACTCTCTCAAGTGGCAAACCTTGTATTTACACTCCTCATACCCCCACACATGCTTTTATGTGGAAATCGCACTGTATCATCAGCCCTCATTATGCCCATATTCTGTTCTCCTCAGGTGCTAGGGATAGGTTCCCACAGATACTGAGAAACTTCCCTTAAACAGGTTTTTAAACCTTATCATTGCCTGAACCTTTTTACTTCCTTTGCTCATTTATCCCTAGAGCGCAATGATGATTCATGTTGTATGAACTCTTATTTATGTGTTATAATGAATGACCTACTCATTATTCCTAAATGTGAGGGGGAAAAAGATATAAAGCACATTTAAAAAAGGACAAAATTGTTTTCTAATGTTTTATTAATATTTTAGACAAACTGCAGCTACAGTACTATGCATCAAGATCATGGCCGTGTTTTCTCAGTTTTAGACAAATTAAGATTATAAAGGAACAAGTAATAGGTTTATTCCATGCTGAAAAAAAGAAGAAAGAAAACACAATGTTTCGGCTGTGGAGCCTTCTTCAGGTGGGGGAACACCTGAAGAAGGCTCCACGGCCGAAACGTTGTGTTTTCTTTCTTCTTTTTTTCAGCACGGAATAAACCTATTACGTGTTCCTTTGCAGCCTACGCATGCTGACGCAGCTACCCACCCAAATTAAGATTATGTTTTGTTGTACAGTATATACTAATCTATGTATGACAATGCTTTGTTTAATCCAGCAGGCCCTATTCTTTGCTGTTTGATTAAGGTTTTGCTTTCTGTAAGAAAATACCTTATGAGTATAGTATTTTTCAATAAGGCATTAATTTGATATCTTTATAATGTGTATGGAATACTTAATTAATGTTGGAATAATAATTTCATCACCGAATTTGAAATGAGTGGCCTGTGGACTAAGCATAATTGAGGAATCGACACTGTTTTATATAGTTTTCTATAAATTGTCTAGTGGGAATTAATGACCCAAAAAATGAAATCTGTAACCAAATCAGATAGCATTATTGTAATAATCACTATTCCTACTGAAAACAAACATTTTCTATCATACATAACATGGAGATGAAATAATGTCATACCACATTTCTTCAGTGGAATAATCCTTCTATTGTGACCCTGTAATAAACTGAGCAGTAACAGAACATGGTTGTATAGATTTTCACCTCTAATTTTCTTGCTCCTTGGAGGTGGCACATTAACAAATTGTGTCTAGAGGCTCACATTTACATAGGTCTCACAGATTTTTTTCTCCTCCACTTCTAAAAGGAATTTATCATTTTTTTCCATAGAAGTTGTTTCCTAGTCGAGAACAAAATCATGCTGGTCCAGCCTGCACGTGAACACAATGCCACCTTTCTCCCAAAACCAGCAGATCATACTAAGAGAGTGATTTTCACATAATACTGTCTGAGTCACTGTCCCAAAAAGTCTGAGAAAGAAAAGTTACTTCTTTGTACAAAACAAAGGTGTTTATTACATGGTATTTACAAAATTGGATGATTTGAGAAATTATGTGTTGCTGTGCACAGCTGTTGGTTACATGCGGCTTCTGAATGACAGTCCAATCATAAATATCAGCTTTGGGAAACTCATGACATGTTTTTATTGAGACTGGGTCACATAGGTGAAGGTTTAGTTCTGTGATAGTTTTTGAGGCCATCGTTTTGTGTTTTTTAACACAATCTTGTTAAGTGTCCGCCTATCCCTTCGACTTGTAACCACAGATCTTCTCTCTTGATGCCGTTTCCTTTGTTTGATATATGATTTTTGACACTATTCCCTTTCATACATTAAATAATTTTGCAGTTTCTGTTACTGACACTGCAATTCAGACACCAGCGTCTTTAGACATTTAAGACATCTTTCATAGTGGGAACATATTGGTAATTAGTATTGACATTAATAGGAAAAGTGTAGAATTCTTTTTAATTGCATTTTAGTTACTTCAAAATACTGTATGAGTACTTTATCATCCACCCCCTGTAACATTGAGCTTCCCTATGGGATGGGTAACTAACAGAAACAGCATAGAAAGCACTTTATTAAAGTAGGCTGGAAGCCTCCTATGACAATGAACTCTCTCCAACTCATCTCCACAACATGCATCACTCAGTGAACTCTGAAAGCTGCAGGAGGCAACCACACTGGGACAGAGGATCAGAAACCTATTTTGAACTATACAGAATATCTATCTTCTTGAAACGATATGTCTCTAAGGGAGTGCAGAGGAAGAACATGAAATATAGTTTTAAAAATAGATCTTACACTTTATTTATACTACATTTTTCAGCTTTATAAAACTTTTTTATTGAGTAACATACACTATGTAAAAGGGTCATTCTCATGTTGTTTTTCCTTACTTCACTGCTTTCCTGGTGAA